TTAAGGTTGAAGCAAAAAAAATTCAATAAGAAAGTAAGCTTGAAGTGGATTTTTGTCTTTCAAAAACCTGTGACACAGTCTCCTTTAAATGAAGAGGGGGTGCCTCTCCATATATTAACATTCGATATGTTTGTTTTGTCTGTTGACTCGCAGGTCAAAGGAATCGAGGCAAAACAGAGGAGAGCAACTGTTGTGTACTTGTGTGATGTCACTGCGCCCTGTCCTCCGTCTGTCTTCATTGTCATCTTGGTTGCCGTCACCTCCATCCTTATCAGAGATTCCTAGGGCCACATGACCTCATTTAATTGACAAAACTAGCACTGATGGTGTCAACAGTCTTATTCTCTTGACATTTGACCGGGACTTTCTGTGTGAGCATCTTCAAGATGCCTGCTGTCTGTCATGTACTGAGTGCCTGAAGGAGGTCATCCTTACTCAAGAATTGTCATAATGGCCTCATCACTGCTTCTTTAGTCATTCCATCATCACTTGAAGGTTGTGCAGGAAATTTGTTCCGAACCTTTCTGTGTTGTTGAAGTTTAGAAATTTAATCAAGAGTATGTTGGGACCAGAAAAAAAGGAGATTCGTAATTCACAATTTTGGCCAGTGTTACATGATTTCATAAAGAACTGGTACATTTGTGTTATTTACATGGATTATTTCATGAATCATAGGATTTATCCTGGGAATGTCTAGTCAGTATTAGAATATGATTTACATGAAATAGCAAACGTACCACTTTAAAATGTTCTGGCCAGTTTTGCTGTTTTTGGTTTAATACATCAGTTATGAAGAAATCATTCTGATACCAAATACACCTTTCCTCAATGTATGTAATGAAGTCCACGTTTAGTGTCAGAGTTTCAATGCAACAATGAGTGATACAATGGGTGATTGCATGTAGGGATTGCCCAAATAGCTAGTCTCTCCTCAAGCAGCACCCTGGCTATTTTAAATGTATATGAGTGGGGCATAGTATAGTCTTTACCTCAGAAAGGTTTGCAGTATGAAATGTATATAATGCAAAAAAAATAAATAATGAAAGCATGGATAATTCTTTACCAGTTGACTTACCAAAACAAGTGCCATATTTCTTCAGAAAATGAGCTTGAAAATGGAACAAAATTCATGATACAGTTCATTAATTACATCCATATTATTGAGAGACACCTGTCTCTGTCCTTTGTGCTTTTCACTTTTCAGTATATTTCCACATTCTGAAGAAACATGGCAGTTGTATGAATGGTCCAATCTACATGTGCACCCAGTTCATGTCAACCGGTATCGCCTATCAATCATCCCTACAAAGCTTGTTTCCGATACCTCTCTGTCATCTGAATTTATCCTTGTCGATTTGATTATCCTTCTTTTCCTACATGTACATGTAGGACGCGTACTCCTGTATGGATGTGTTGCAAGAGTCATGCATTATTAGGGAGCTGTTTTCACTGATGTTACTACCAAAGGAAGATTTCAAACTATTAGGAACTGACAATGATGATTCAGACAATAGATTGTGTTTGCTTTTATGTTGTCTTTTGATGGTTTTAAGTCCTTTTTGCTAGATATGGTAATGTAAATGGTTTTAGTCAGTCATTTTTCTCATTCATTGCCAGATATAAAACATGGGCTGTGTGTACCAAAGTGTAGGATAGTTTCTTCACAACACGTAGGACATGCACATGAGATGTACAAGTGTTCAACCTTACATTCCCAAAAGTGGCATTTCTTTCCATGAACATAATGTATTTGTGAAAGTGGCACTAAAAGCTGATGACATTTCACCTGAAAATATCTGTCTGCAAATCAAATGTTACCTAAGTGAATCAATGTCCTTATTAATTATGTGCAAGACTGGGACCTCAGAGGCAAAGATGCAAATGTACCCAGACTTAGGTGCAACAGATTTGTGCACATTCCGTTGAAAATATCTTGTACACACTCGGTACCAGGCACATGTGTTTACCTGTACACTCACCTAATGCGCCTATTCTTGGCTCAAATGAAGCAGGCCAAACATTGTCATTTACCTTTTGTCTGTCACATCTACACAGCAAATAAGTCATTTATAAGAAATGCAACTAGAATATCGTTAAATATCAGGGACACTGTGTACGTATGTCGTGTATAATGGACATAGATGGTATTTCAATGTCTAAACAAGGTTTCCTATACTATAAGCCTGTGTAACATTGGGTGAATATTGTCACACATTTATAATTGAGGCTGGTGTAAGTATCATTGGATAGTACACAGATAAAATAATGATAGGAGTGTGAGTGATATGGAATCAAGTGTAAAGACCACAAACTGGTGTTTATGACTAAAAATATTATTGAATTTGTGTCCTTTATTGTTTAATATTTCATAGACATACCTTGTGAATTTTCCCTTTTGGAAATTAAGTTATCATGTCCATCGTTCTACATGATCAAGTCTAGGTATATAGGCATTTGATCTAAGATTGATGATGCTATAGAAGTATTACGTTCATCCCCATTATGTTGTCAGTGTTTGGTCAGAAATTCTGAAAGTGTGATATCCTCAACACCGTGTAACATGAAACCAGCTGGACCTTTTTTTCTACTGTCATGATTTCCATTCTACAGTTCATTTCCTGTAATACAGTGTGGGAAAAAAAGGCATATCATTGCTGGCTGCCTACCAAACATTGACTTCAGTTTCTTTATTGATCTTTTTTTTCTTTCAAATAGTGATGAGTGTGTTTTATAATTAGATCAACTCTGAATCGCATTGTTCAGTCAACTGTTGATAGACAGAAAGCAGATCATTGTTTTCCCCTAAAGTAAATAACAATTCAGCCACTTTCTGTGAATTGTATGTTTTTGAGGTTATTATTGTTTTTTTGGGTGGCACAAATTGATGGATGAAGTTAGTATCATTTGTTTGATGTTGTACACTACTTGATGCACCTGCTATTGTTAAAACCTCTCATTCTCACTTTACTGTTTTGTTTATGTTCTCAACTATTTTGGGCTTGCTTAACTCTAGTTAATATTCTTTTGTGGATTAAGCAGATGTGAGTTTGAGAAACACATTTTCACAAATCGAGACTTATTTTGAGAAAATAATTGATAATAATCCTAAACCATTACCTTATTTTCCCCATATCTTGTTGAACATGTCAGTTCCTCTCGGCACAAAAAAATGGGGATAGGTACAAATACTTTGGGAAACAAGACTGTCCGTAATGATGAGCGTATGATTTTTGCAGTCATTTTGTTATACATTCTCATTCTTAGTTGATCAGTAAGAGTATAGTCCTATTTGTTCACTGGAATTGAAGAAATGTGTTAGAATAATTGTATGCCATTCTTCAAGTATTGCGATAGTGTCTTAAATGATTGTTTGGCCCCTTTTTATTTGTTTACTTGTCTGTTTTTCATTTTGCTTTTGGTTATTTGAATTATGTTCTTTTGGAGTAACATTTTATTGTTCTTTTATTTCCTGTCATTGAGCATTTATGATGGAATATTTTCAGTAGGTATGTACTGCCCACTGTTAAGGAGCTAGTCGGGTATTTCAAACAAGGAAGGTCATTTGACAAAACGAGCAGATGGGGCTGAAGTCACAGGGACTTCCAAATGACCTTAGAAGTCACAGGGACTTCCAAATGACCTTAGAAGTCACAGGGACTTCCAAATGACCTTAGAAGTCACAGGGACTTCCAAATGACCTTAGAAGTCACAGGGACTTCCAAATGACCTTAGAAGTCACAGGGACTTCCAAATGACCTCAGATGCGTTTCATGTTGGGCCTGTGCCCATTCCTCATGTATCTGACGTGATATTCATTCCCCAAACCCACAGTTAGGTTGACAGTGTGAATTAGTTCCAGAACACTTCACAGTTGCTTTGTTTCTATTGCAGTGTCTTCTACATGATGAAAATGGACTGTCTCTGTTTTTCAATCTCATTTCAATCCACCAAGTCTCTTGCAGAGGCAAATTGAAGTTGGTTGTAACATGGAGAGAGATTAGTTAATCCAGTTTTCACCATAGGTGTGGAGTGTTGCAGATTTACCAATGAATGTGTATCTACCATTCATTGATTATTACATTGGTCCAAAGTATTATTCGTTTGGGTTTGATTTTTGCTATTTGGTTAGGTATTTAATGAATGAAGTGTGTGAAAGGAATGATCCATCACTAGGAATTGGTGAAAGAAAATGGAAGAAAAGGAAATCCAAATAAGTTGTAGAATTTGTGTGAAAAGTTAACTTACAGTTTTGAATACTGATGTTGGCTACATGATTAAAAACAAAACAGCATAGCTAAAAGAAAAATATCTTAGAAGTAAAGTAATTATTACAATACTTAAATTTAATGCTGTATGCAGGCTGTTACTAAGTCTAGGCAACCTGCTTTTGTCCAGAATGGACTTTGAAGTGATTACATTTATTAACTACACACATATATTGATTATTTCATCAAAATCTGGGCCATAAGGACAGATTGTGCATGCTCAGATGACCACAATACACAAGTTGGATTCTTTGACACGTGAAATTTCAATGGGAATGGGATTAAATGGTAGCTTGATTAGTTCTTTTGTAAGCTGTGGATATGATTTAAATTCAGATTTTTTAAATGTAATAAAAAGGTTTGTCTGCAATGTCAGTGTGTAAAATAAGGTTATGTTGGAAGACATTGGTTCATAGGAATGCTAATTATTTTCAATTATTTTTATCCAGAAATGATGAAAACAAGAAATAAACATGTAGATCTATGTCTTTGCTAGTGTAACATTAGTCATGTAAATATTTGTCCATTAATTTGTTTGGAATTAAACTTGTAAAAGTTAAATGGATCAGCACCTAATAATTCTTGTTGCAAATTTTCGTTTGTTTTTAATTTGTATATGTGTCTCATTTCATTTTTCATTTCAAAGCTTGTCATTTGGATCATTTCTAAAGGCTGCGCCATGGATGTTTGGAGGGAGTGATAGAAATACAGTGTACATGTACATGAGAACAGTGTTTATGTGGTGAGCCATGAGTATGATGCGGTGATATAGGACAATTATATTCAGTGGCGTAGCCGGGGGGCATGCCCCCCCCCACTAAAAAACATGAATGGATATTGAATAAGGCTAACATAAACTTGTCCACAAAAAACACAGCACTGAAAGCTGGTGTCCCCCATAAGATGCTGGTGCCCCCTTTGTGCCCCCCCCCCGGTAAAATCTTAGCTACGCCATCGATTACAAACTCAATCGAAAACTGCTGGGCACTACCAGTACCACAAACTACTATGGCAGTGCATATCAAATTAATGCCAGAAATTGTAGTCATGTAATGGCGGCCGACTTCGTTTTCTCTTCTTCCTTGCATTGCGCAGTTAATAATGAATGCAATGCTGTGCTTCCTTGGCACCGGCATCGTACATGAATGTACGACTCACCGCGAGGGTTGGAGACCATATCGGGGGCGCTGTTCAAACAATCGGTAAATATGTGAACAACCCACGAAACTGACCGGCGCGGTATGTCGCCTGTGCATGAGGTACGCGTGCGTGGGTATGCCACAGTCACAAAACACGTCACACACACCGCGCGCTCACACCGCAATTTTGATAGGGCTCCCTCGGCCTCAGAAGCACCCCAGACGCGTCGACTGTGGGAGACATTAATGCCAAACTAGTCGGGTGTGCACGCGCACGTGCGAATCGGGGTTTTATACCGGCATGCAATGGCGCGTGCCTGATCGACAAGAAACAACTGAACGAAGATCTGGCGTCTTTCCCATACGTCACCTTACACTTACAGGGAGAAAAACGTATTCACATTGCTCCAAATTTTGGAACGTTCTGAGGTGCGACTGAAAATAACACATTGAATCAATAGGCGCAAATTGCAATAACTAAACTTTATGCTAGTCTCGGTACAGTTTTGTTGATTTGAATTGCATCAAGAGACATAACATCAAGAGAACTGATTTCAAATGAGTCTCAGTGTCGCTGCCGAAACAATGTCAATATTTCAGAAATTATAAAGGACTTTGTTCGGATGAGTTAGGAGGGACGGACAATCGAAAGAACTCGTGTCACGTTGCATGCAACGTGACAATACGGTATCACGTAACAGCATTATAATGCAAATCTTGAATGTCACGAGACCACGTAAACTTGTGTCAGTCCTTCGTTGACCAGCTCTTTTGTAAAGTTTGTATATTGTGTTCGATGCCGACGGTGAATTATAAATATCATTATATAATTAACACATTATAAGCCTGACCGTACACCAAAATACATGAAAAATTAAGTTTCCAACAAGCGAGTAAAAAGAGTAAATTACTATCAGCTAAAAATTTTCGAATGACGGAAAGACATCGATTACACTTTTTTTACAGAAATTTCGAAAAATTCTCTGAGATTCACCATTGAGCTAGAAGTATAAATTAATTCACTGAGCAAAGGGCAGTCAAATTTAATGTGCGTTTTTTTTCATTTTACTGCATTTGTAGTTTTGATCTTTTCTTATTGTAGCGTAATGCACATCTGCAGCCCACGTAAAGTGTATCTCAGACCAGCATCATCATGACGTCATTGTCAACTATTAATGTAGTATGTTGTTAAATGTATTCATTCTGACAGAATCGTTCCCGACAGTTGTTCACAATTTTTATTTGTTTATTTTTTTTGTCAATGTTGTCAACAAATTACCTCAAATCACATCAACCCCACTTTAGAGACGCGACACGCACGGAGGGTGGATTTTGAGTCAGCTGGGCCGCGCCGGGAGAAACAAGTCGTCTACTTTTGTAGCTAGCCAGCGTTTTTGATCGAAGGTCACAGTAAATACATGCATGTCGGTGTAGGTGTTTGCCCCGGCCCGCTTCCTAGGGCGCGTAATGCATGCAGTAAACAACACTGCAAGATCACCAGCTGACCTTGGATTCGCATATGTAGGCCACCGTCAACTCGCTTGATTTCCCCTGATGTTATAACAACTTAAATATCACTTTATACTGCTTTTTAGTTTCCATTCATTCGTGTTGAGAATGGACCACTTTCTGAAGAACTTAGGAGGAGTGACACTGAAATCGTTGTTGGAGAATCCGAGTTTGTTGCAAACCGCAACATTTCAACCGAGTCAGGACCTGAATATTGAAGATGAGAAAGCTGACTCTGATGCCATGGCGGCAGGGAACAAAGAACAAGAAGGTTTGTCATGTTTGTTTGGATTTCTACATTTCTTCTCTTGTAGATTGGTAGTTGCCTTCTGATCGGAAATAACTGATACAGAGTCTGTATGTTGTTACTAGAGGTGTTGAAAGTAGCCCTCAGCTTAATTTTTTTTAGCATATAACTATCCTGGTACGTATGCGCATATGACCTAGCCCACATCATGGAGGTGGGAAGGTTTCGAGTCAACTCGGACCCAAACCAACTCGGACCCAAACCAACTCGGACCCACAACCAACTCAGACCCAATACTAACTCGGACCTACAACCAATTCGGACCCACCCTGAGTCAACTCGGACCCAACCCCAGGAGCGTGATGAACTTGTTGAAAATTTTGATTTTGTCCACTTTTACATTTTAGCATTTGGTAAATGACACTTTTGCACTGCATACTGCCGAGATGTAACGTCCTCTCTACACGTAATGCTTCCCAGAATTTCTCAGTTTTCGAGTTTGAACAGGCATGGTGGTTGAAAACCATACAGGACTATATTTGATATCAGTGATGTCTTGGAACAAGTGAGAAGTAAACGGCGAGCGTCGTATTTTTATGGAGGCACGTTTCCTTTGATGCCTTATTTGCCGCTTGTAATCTGGAGTCTTAATCAGGTATTAGCTTCCGAGGTACTGGTAAGATTGACCACAAAGACTGATTTTGTCACCTTCCATTCTTGAAACCCTATGATCAGGGAGTGGGAGCTTGGGACAACCAATGGGAGCAGCTTTTGGAGTGTGATTGACAGAGTACCAAATCATTGACGCCCTGTCTTCAAAGTGTTTTTGGCACTCCAGATCACCAGAAGAAATCGAATGAACTTCACCAAACAGCCCCCAAAGTTTTTGTTGCAATAAAAAGCCAAAGAGAGGCCTTCTGATGTACATGAGAGATGCTGCATACGTACAACAGATACTGCAGATATACATGTACATCAATGTCACGAACATTGACCTTTCATAGTGTCTCATGGTGTTATCCCCCACCTCACTTTTAAAATTTTTTTGGCCTGGCAAGTCTTACACCTCCACCTTGCCCCAACCCCCCCCCCAATACCGGCAAGATTTAGGCAGATGGAGGAATTCATCCATACAGGCCTTAACTGACTGTCCAAATAATGCAAATAGGTTGGTAATTTCGAACAACACAAATCAAATCATTTGAAAAAAAAAGTGGAATATTTCCTGTTGGCTTAAACTTGGAGACGGTTTTGAAAGGTCGTATGTCTGCTCGCGAGTTCATTATTATTTTGTGATTTTGTTTTTTAAAATAAGACGTGCCATAATCACGAGGGATCATAGAATTATTTATATAAATCCAGAATTGGGATTGATAGTTTCCAGTATTTCTTTCACAAAAAGACCCACATTGCGGGCCTATTTTCGATAGAAACGGGCAACTACATTCAGAGCTGAGTGCATAGTTTTACTACTATTAGGGGGGTATCTTCAGGAAAAAAAATTATCTTGAATTTCCAATGAAAAAATGAAGGCTAACCTCTTCGCTAGGTTCATGAGTCGGCGCTATTTCGGTCAACGGGCAAGTATTTGATGTAGTGCAACCATAAGACTCCGTGGGTCCGAGTTGACTTGAGGTAGGTCCGAGTTGGTGTGGGTCCGAGATGGTAGTGGGTCCAAGTTAGTATTGGGTCCGAGTTGGCGTGGGTCCGAGTTGGTCCTGGGTCCGAGTTGGCATGGGTCTGAGTTGGAATGGGTCCGAGTTGACCTGATCCCGGTAGGAGAAGACATCCATGCCTACATGTACGTAGTCGTGGGATTGCATGATAAACAATCAGTGTATTTTATGTACAACCCTATGGAAGAAGTACCTGCAGTGCATGAATATTCTCATGGTTAGACACGTCCGGGAACTTTAGTAACTTTCTGCATTGCATCTCATATTGCCAAGGAGAATTTTACCCGTTTACTGTGTTTGCAGTGTCTTCAACGTTAAAACTTTAATAAAAGACCAGACATCAGGCCAACAGCTGGACAGCAAGAATCTTTCCACTTTATAGGCCTACTATAAGCATAATATGCCTACTTTTGCCAATGCATTGCCATTGCCTATTTTTTCTCAATTGTGTTGTAGATGTGGAGAAAGTTGTTCATGAAAATGAATTTTTGAAGCCTAGCCTTTAGCCTAACGTCCGTGACTATGTAGTCACCAGGCCCCTTGTTTCGCCACTTACTGTGAAGCCAGGCCAATCAGACTTGACAGTAGGTGGTGAAATAACGGACCTGGCAACTATGTGTTGATGTAAAGTGGCGCTGCCCCTGACGTTGCTCACTTTCATTTTTCGCTTCTTGTTTACAGAGCAATATTTTAAGCTCAAAATTCACAATTCATGAAGCTTCATTAAACTTCCAATATTCTAATTCATAAATCTTGATTTTACGTACCTGCTACTTAAAAATTTGGATGAAATTTTATTTTCACCTGATTTTGTGATTTTTTTTCTGAATTGCAAAGTGAACTCTTTTAAAATGTGCCCAAACATAGGAAAAGAATTTTCTGACAAAATTGTGGATTGGTACATGTATTTGAGTGGAAGTAATCATGCTCTAAAATAATTTTTCAATTTCAAAGGTGGTGTGAATGTTTTTTGGATTTTCTGAGATTTTTTTTATTGCGCCACGTTAGGGAACACTCAACTGAATTGAGCCCAATTTTCGGATGCTGACAGTTTTGGATTTTGAACAAATTTGAAGACACAGAAATTGTTCACATGTACATGTACCGGTAATAGTACCAGTATATTTATAACCAAATAATTTTAAGTTTTTCTTGAAAAAGGTTTGGCAACACTGAATGTCGGTGAGCTAGTATTGGCCAATCAGAATCAGGCCTTCAAGCTCATGATCCCACACTGACCAATCACATTCACTTTTCATCCATTGATGTACATGTACATGTAGGCCCATAGTAACCAGTGTCCTTCAATCAAAAGACTTTTTGAGCGATTCTTTCTTTTTACACACTTTTGAAAATTTGTTATTTGGGAAAATGTTTCTATGTATGGATGTATGACTTGATGAGCAGGCACTTACAAAATAGAAATTGATTTTGATTGGTTCACTTCTCCCATAGTTCATGCATAAAATACATGGTGTGTTTGTTGTTCAATCCCATAATGCAATGACAATGTTGAAAGGGTTTATTATGGTTTCACATTCAGGCTTAAGATGACAAGGTATCCGACACCCAGCTCCAAACTAGGGCCAGTCTACTGGACTACCTCCGTATCCCTGGTCCTGGCTGCACAGCCAACATCTTTTTGGTCTAGGACCCAGAAATATGGGCAGCCAAAAGGGCCAAAATTAATTATTACAAAAATAAACAATTACAAGCAAACAGCATTTTCTTATTAAAAAATTATATAATAAACCACAAATCAACACCAAAACCATTAACAAAACAAATTATTAAAAAATTAAATCACACAATTAAAAGTAATATGTCATTAAAATTAATTTTGCCAAAAATAAACAAATACGGGCAAACAACATTTTCTTATCAAAATGTAAATAGTAAAACACAAAACAAACGCAAAACATTTATAAAAGAAATTATCTAAAAATAAATAACCAACATTTGAAAACAATATGCCCCAAAAAGTTCCTAAAATGACAACAGTAAATCAAAATACGAAATAATTGATAAACCAAATTGTCGAAACCAAAGGTCGCCAGCAGTTCACTTCACTTTTTAATAACGAAGCTGAACGCAAATCGTTAGAAAAATTTTTAAACACATTTGGTTCCACCGTATAATACTTCATTTTTTGTAAAATTAATTTTGACCTTTTTGGCCGATTTTGACCCTTTTGTCCACCTGTTTTTTTTTAACAAACAAACTCAACACAATACGATCACACGATGGTACAGATGGACTGAGAGTGCCTAACACATACCAGCGCAGCATACAGATACAGGCAGGTGCAGCGCAGGCGGCCGGGCGCGGGCCGGGAGGTGTTTAGGGAAGGGGCGTAATCATACATGTCGCCTCTACATTGTAAGTTTGATGGAGTGGAGTAGGATGCCACCATGAATTTTAATTTTTTTTTTTCCGGACTGTGTTACAGTTGGAGAAGTTGAACGGGATTGGGTGAATATATAAAGGATGACCTTGTACGATCGAGGATTATCCAACCAAAAAGAAAAAGAATTGGATGTGGAGAACATTCAAATCCTAATGGAACTCCTTGAGGAAAATTGAGAAGTGTCATTTTGGCAAGGAATTCAACCAAAAAACCCCAAACTGAAATCCGCCTACTCCTATCATTCATGGCTTGAAGAACAATGATACAGACAAGGATTCTTTGCCGTCAGTTGCAATTAATAAGTATAAAAGAACCAAAATTAGTGACTGATAAAGTGAAGAAAGAAGGCACGGAAAAAATGCTCTGTTTCACCCAACACAGAAGAGAAAAAAAGTGGGACGGCACCTTATCACCGGCATACCTTAGATCAAGAAGTGAATTAGAAACACAAATGTACACAAACAAGCCCTTGCATTGCCAAACTCTGGATACAGACTGAGTTTTGAAACTCCCGCTCTCTGGGAAACACTAGCTTAATGGGCCTATGGGCGAGTTATGTGTTGACAAGTGGTACCCACCCACTATCTTGACCTTGCATGAGACCAGTGATGACTTCTTAGTTAAATATTCTACCCTAAAAATCAAGCAAATTTCAAACATACACTGTACTTTCTAGTATGTTTCTACTTTCTGCACAAATGCTGGTATTTTAACCAGTGTATTAATGGTGACATCAACCTAAAAATCTCTACATTGCAAAAAAGTATTCAAATACATCAGCGAAGACCGCTTGTCCATGAAGCTGTATAAAATCAAACAGTAAGAAAAGAGTGGGAAGTGGCCCTGTTGAAGGCGATAACAAATCCCATCCACTCCCTGCTATAAAAAACTAATTCATGGCAGCAATCTTCTTGGAATTTCCTTAAAACCCCCCTGTGAGCAAAAGGATAAAATAAACCGATTATTCCTTGAACTTTGCTTGCACTGACCAGTTTCCCTTATTTTCTCGGCCATAGAAACACTTCTCTCAACTTTGGAAATCAGTCTGAAAAAAAATTAAAATTCATGGTGGCAGCCTACTCCACCCCACCAAACTTACAATGTAGAGGCGACATGTATGATTACGCCCCTTCCCTAAACACCTCCCGGCCCGCACCCGGCCGCCTGCGCTGCACCTGCCTGTAGCTGTATGCTGCGCTGGTATGTGTTAGGTGCTCTCGGTCCATCTGCGCCATCATGCGATCGTATTGTGCTATCAGTAGCCTAGATATTGCATGAATTCTACAACTTTACTTCCCCTTTTGGAAACAATTTTCCATAAATATTAACTAGAAACAAAGGTCAATTACTTGTAGCTGATGTCAATTTTTTTTTCAAAAATTGCAAATGTGAGTAGAAAGACATATAAAACAAGCATTTTAATGTGAGAAGAGGTTATGGAAAGATGTTTGTGAAAACTTAAAAGACATCCGATCTCAACTGGCCCACCGGACCACCAGTTTTATTAGGTCAGCTGGTCCGCCAACTTTTATACTGGCCTCAGGCCAGCGGACCACCATTAATTTTGACCCCTGGAAAGGGTTGACCTACATCTAATCTTCGTTATTGTTAATAATCAGCATAAAGTTTGTTTAGGTTCTTCTACCTTAATGATGGAAAAAACTTCGAACTCTTCCGTTGCCATTTTCAGACATGCACAAGCGCAAGCATGTGGCCTGCCTATGGTGTACATTGGTGCGTGTACAGTGTGCATGTACACGTATGCTTGTACGACATGTATTTTTTCATCCACATTGAAGTCAAGTCTTTTGCTTGTTTTCAGCCAAATTGCCGAAGGAAACATGCATGCAGGAATACTGGGATTCATTTTATATCATTATTTATTTTAGTTTGCTGATCACATCATAATCTGTATCTACTGCATTGCAAACAGTAAGGCACAAAAACGTGTGTCAAGTACTGACCTGCATTATGACCTGCATACCATTTTGGGAAAAAAAATTATGGAGTGATGAGAAATCTGTTCCAAGGTGTTTGTCATATTCCTAGACATACACATACGAAAATGAATAGCTTTTGCATTTGCAACTACCTACCCATCGCTGGCCGGCTGTGATGGATGCGTGGTTCGTGTATTAAAGACGTTCTCGACTCGTATAGCTATGGCTCTTTCTGTTCAATATTGGTTGAATTACGTCAAAGACTGATCAAAATTGGCCGATAAAAGTGAAAACACAGTAGTCTGCGGCAGGGTTCTTCGCTTTGTCTACGACATTGATCTGCAAATGGTCAGAGGCAATGTACATGTACAGGCGTCGATCAAGGACACAAGTTACAAAGTTGAGGTAAGTCATGCAGATACATGTAGGCCTATATAAAACATACTAATGTCTGCTCATTTGTTATGATTCCTAATATTTAAAATACTTTATGATAGCATAAGGTGCGATGAAAAGGTTGAAAGATTCAATTAGCGTTATTGTTATTGCTTTCGATGTGATCTGGTGTGATGCAGGCACCAAATTTATTTCAGCATCATGAAGTGTGACATGCTTTTCTACGTATAATTTTGTTTCAGATCAAGTTAGGGGATGACTTTCAAGTGAAAGCATTGTGTGAGTGTCCCTTGAGAAATTACAAGTGTCACCATGTAGCAGCTGATCTATTGTTTGGGTAAGTGTTGACCAAATTCTGTTATTCGTAATACAAAAGATTTTAATGGAAATGTGTATTAGAAAGATCACATAATGTGTGCACATATATCACAATACAATATTTCTTGGAAAGAGTTCCATATATAAAGTTCGCTCTCACCACCCTGTGTACAAACCCCATGAGAGTGGTCTGACAAAATCCAAGTGTTTTCTAAGAAAATGCTTAGATTTTGCTCACTGCTAAAAATGAATTTAACCCTAACTACCCCAAACCTGCCATACTCCAACAGCAAGTTTTGGTAGTTTTGATACCATATCTGATGAACTTCGTGTTGAATTTTATGAGACTTGGGATGAAAGGCCCAGGGAGATGGTGTTGGATTCTTTGTGAGTTTGGACACACTGGTCACTGTGTGCAGTGTCTGGCTTGCTGTACCAATTGTTGGACTATGCTTGATTTTGTCAGGTTTGGTACTATTCAGTGCAAGTCATCCTATACTGCATAGAACCATTCATACCATATCACTCAAACTCCAACGGGCTCATTCTGTTGGAGTTTATCAGGTTTGGTACACTAACCTGCATGTAAGTACATAGACAAGTACATGAACCTGTTGGATTTTGTGAGGTTCAGTATGCGTTCTAGTGCAGGAGCCTAGGGGGTTAGGGTTAATGACATGTAATTACTATCTGGGGGCTTGGAAGACATTACAGAGGAAAATTAGTGAACTTCATCTATGGAACTCTTCCCTTTTTTGTAGCAGGTAAGCAAGACTGATGTGAAGTGCAGCTGGCTGAAAAATCCAAAATCTGGTCTGCCGAAGAAGACAACGACCATTGCTGAGTTGTATCCTTACACCAAGCAAGATTATTGGTAAGAAAAGGACACAAAAGGATGAAAAGCTCCTTCCCCAAACCCTTATCTTCTAGAGGATCTCACCCCTAGCAAGGACTACGCACATGCTGAGTGTTCCACAACTTGGCTGAAGAAGGCACTCATTTTGAAACCTTAAAAAATTGGCTGAGGCAGCCTCTCTGACTGTGGGGCAGAGGGGAAACAGCCTGTGGGCGGCCTCACGGAAGTACAAGTCCACTGCATCCAACTTTGAACAGGTACTGGGTGCTGCTTCACGCAACAGGTGAAGAGCCTTGCAAGTGGTATATTAAGTTTGTACTGGTGTCATTTCAAATACAAGCATCACTTGTATTACAAATTGAAGACATAAAATTTTGAAGGCTTAAGTCACTGGATTTTCTCTTTGTCAATGGGCTAGCTGCTTGAGCCTTTTTTACAATTCTTGTAAGAGAGAAAATTAAGACCAGATTGGCTGCTTTGTCTGGGCTGTTTCAAGCATTTTCAAATGTTTCTTTTTAAAATTTCGCCTTCACTGAAGAAGCATCTGCTTAGTTTTTATTACTTGGATAAAGTTCTCGCCATTCAAGGGGGTATAATACACAAAGATGTTGCACTTCAACAATATTGTTAGCTTGGAGCTGAAGTTACGCAAATCGGAGAGTTCATGATCTCTTGCCAAAAATTTGGTGAAAGATTTACCTTTTGCATTCCACTAGGATTATAATCATATGCCAATACTTTTGTTTCGTGCATTTTTTAGGGATTTGGCTTCATGAGTGTGGGGTGCTGGCGGCATCACCTGATGGTATAGTCACCAAGTCACCATCATGTGCAGTCCACCTGATGGGCACACCACATGATGTCAAGCCTCAGCTGCTAGAGATCAAGTGCCCATTTGCTAGCCGAGATGAGCCAGTATTGAAGACAGCGACTACAGACAAAAACGTTTTTCTTGGTAATGGGTACAAGCTAATAATTAACCCTAAATGCATTTCTTATTAAACAGATGTTTCCCTTTGGTGCCAAAACAATTGATTATTTCCCTTTTTGTTTCTCCCAGCTCTTGACAATTGGAAGTTGTACTTCACAAAACAGCACGACTATTGGCATCAAATCCAATGCCAGCTACACCCCACTGGAAACAGTTGTTGTGACCTAGTTGTGGGGAAACCACATGATACGGAGATAATCAGAATCTACAAGGATGACATCTGGACACCAAACATTGCAAGGATGATCAAATGTTATTTCAATCAGTTCATCCCTTCTTTGATTGATAATTAAAGCATGGAATTGTAAACATAAATAGAGAAAACATTCCTTCCAACTGTTTACTTGTGCAATGAATAATTACACCATGTACCTGCAATTTTTCCTTGAACCCTCACAGAATATAGTCCCCTGATTATGATGTAATTATGCACACACAGGGAAGTTTTTCTTTAGACTACATGTAGCAACTGTATGTCAAATTAGAACATGGTGTATTCGAAATCCTTATTCAATTTTTTTGAAGCATAGAAAAAAAAGTTGGAAATATCAATGGGCCTTCAATGTTTCAAGAGGAAAAAGTTGAATTGACTGAAAGGCTACCGGGATACTAAGTCTCAGAGTCAAGTGGGCAGACCAATTTCCACCTCGAACTTTTGGATTTTAGAAATGTCACATCAAGTTAATTCTACAAATGTTAGTCACAAATTAAGATTTCCTTTGGATGAATTATGGAGATTTATGTGAGAGAAGCAGCATAAATCTTTGGCACGTTTAATTGCCAAAGCTCAGGTTGAAAACTAATTGAGACTCCCATTTCATTGCCATGAGAAAACAAGAGCTTGGATGTTATTAGATGTCATAATTTTCTGCAATTTCTTTCAGTAGTGGAGCTTGCAAGTTGACTAAACATGTACAAAGCTGAAAAATGTTAGTAGCAATTTCTGTATAATTGGCTGGTATGTGGTTGAGAATTTCATAATTCTTTATCCTTGCCTTTGCTCGCTCAACCTGGATTCTATCTCTAGCAATCTTGTAACACGTTTCTGCCTCTTTTTTGGTGAAATGTGTCTTGTTTTTAAGGAAGGGGAATATTCAAAAATACACCCTCTGGAATTTGATCATATATATTAAACCCTTTGCCTGCCAGGATCAAATCACCTGGAACAAATTTATCCAATATTTTGCTGTGCTCATCTATTGCTGGGTCAGTTGTGGAACCAGGATACAAATCAGAACAAAAAACTAATGGTGCATTCGGTGCGACACATGTCAAAGCCTTCATTGTATGTCTGTTTTTGTAATTACTGTATGACACCGATTGTTTGTTTAAATCTTTAGGGATGCCTTGGTAGATCTGTGTTGCATCCATAGCAACCCTGGCAGAAGCAAATTCTTCAAAGGATTTGGGCATGGATCCTTTGCACTTCAGTTGACTTGAAATGGCAACAGCCTCGATGACACCCTTGTGCAAAATCTAATGAAGGGCACACACTTATGTTTGTAGTATATTTGAAACGGCGTCTGCCAAATCAAGGTCTCTGAAATTCTCTCAACTTCATGAGAGTCATGAGCAGCTGGTCCTCCACAGATATACACGTAACTTGCCAACCTGCATAGTAGTTCAGAGGCCCCATCCTTTTCAAGACATTCACCAAAATGTCAAAAACATCAATTGTGAAGAAAGTGTAGAGCAATATCTAGAAAACAAAGGGAAATTTGAGAAAAGGATAGAAAGGCAGTGTGGTGGAAAAATGTCCGGAGGGGCGGAGCCTCCGACGAGATTCTTACCCCGAGGACGATAGCACTGCCACTAGGCACATCGGTAATCAAAACAAATATTTAAAAGAGCCCCTCTAAGGAAAACATATTTTCTCTGATTTTATCTGCATTCACTTTGGATGCTTCCATATTTATTTGAACAGATAAAATCAGAGAAAACATGTTTTCCTTAGAGATGCTCTTCAACTGGTAAAAATAGTCAGTAAGAATCCTCAGAAACTAGGAAATACTGCAGAGAGTTGATCCCAACTTAAGGTAAGCCCTATCCGACGATATTAAAAGAAATGACCCTTGGGGGCATTTTCGCTACCCTAGAAAAGATTACAAGTATTCAAAAAACATTTCCTACACTGAGTTCCAGCCTTCAGTCCAATGCATGCATTCATCAAATTTCTTTAAATAGACTCGGGCAAACAAGGCAATGAACATGGAGGTGAATGACTTTGGAGATGGAGAGTTAATATACCTTGTCAGGGTCATTCTTGATGTGATGAATTGTCAAACGCTGACGTTCCATTCTCAGTGTTGCCATCTCCTTTTCAAGAAATTTTATTTCGTCCTCCAGATCAGATATTTTGGATTGTGCAACAAGCACCAAAAATGAAATAGTTGATGATTAACTGCCACCACAGACCGGTTGGAAAGGAATTTTTTCCCTCCGTCTAGACTTGTTTCAGAGTAAGGAACAATTGCCAGTATATTTAAGTGTATACATTATTTAATTATGCCAATGTACCAGCTGAAAGCTTATGTTCCACAGCAGAGGGGCACGTGTCAGCTTGACGCATCTTATCAGTATGCATCAGATGTACAGGAATATGTGCAGCTTCTGATTCATGATGTTTATCTTGATTGGAAGGGCCTTCCAGCTTTCTGACATTTATGCACAAATAAAAGCAACGAGAAATGAAACAAATGATTTCTTTTCAAAACTTCCATGCTCATTGCCCACTTTCCGAGGCATGCTAGGAATTATTTCTTGATAAACCGATATTTAAAACACATAGGTCTACCTGCAAGTAGTCAGAAGTGGTGAGGAAGATTGAGAGCAATGTCTTTGGAGATAAAGTTAGGATGATTTTGAGCGCTGCTGTGAAGGATTCATCACAACTTGCAAAGTGCCAAACATACATGAAAGTTTTCTCGACTGTCAAGCACTTCGAAAAATGCAATTCGCCACTTGCATGGCTAACAAAAGAGTTCAGTTATGCTCCACTATGTTCAACCACACTATACCCACCTTTTTGGTTTGGGTCCATCGGCTCCTAGCTCTGGCTGTGATTCTAAATTTTCTAGGCCTGTATATTGCTATAATAGAATAGAGTCAATGATAGTTTGCCCATTTTCTTTTGGTCCCGTCAATATTACCCACCTGCACAACTCTATCCTCTTATTTCTTTGCGAATGACTTTTTGGAAACGAAATAATTTGCACTCGTGTAATGATTTATAGCGACAACCGAAGGCGTAGCACATAGGCATGATGATGACATTCGTTCTTCGTCGTCCTTCATCGTCATTTCGTGTTCGTGTTACGTATGTTGCAGGCCTGCGCCAGCCCTGCACGTTCTTGAAGCATTTCGTCATATAAAATCCATGCGCTACAAGGTCTTTTCGCGCCACAACGGAGCCCCATGCTTATGTAGCTGATTAACAATCATCTCCAACAGAGGTTTGTTTGTGTAGAGATCAATAGGTCGTGTTGCAAAGTCGGCACTAATTCTCATTTGGTCCACAGAACCGGATGCAATTTTTCTTTGTTTTTTCAACATTCCTACAAGTTTCTAGAAATTTTATGATTTTAATTGCAATTGTTAAATATAAACATTCCTATTCTCTGTTTTTTTTTTCCGTAAAATGTCATAAGAAAAAAATACAAGCCAGATAAAATTGCATACGTGACAAACTCCCATAGGCTGTGCCTCAGAGGTGCCCGGATATGAGTGGTGACCTTTTCATGTGGCCTATAGCCAGAGCTTCCAGGCCCCTTGGATCCTGGCCCTGAATCCTGGCCTTAAGGGACTTCACGCTGTGCGCTCTTGTTGCGTGCTTCACACACAAATTTTGGACTCTAACAAGATGGCACTCCCTGTTTTTCATTTTGCACTCCCACCTTTCAAATCTTAGCTAAAACAATGAGGGGAATACCAGTGTTCAGTGCTTGTGAGAAGTTCAGCTTGGCTCCAGTTGATCTGATTGTGTCTTCAGTCATGTCAGTGTGGGAGATTTTATTATGTATATGTAGACAACTTCTCACATTCACTTTCCTTCTATGGCCCTTTTGTTAATTGAGTCTTGTGGCAACATGCATCTGACAACGTTGAATATTTGGTGTACAGGGGTCAAAATTAGCCTTTTTTTCCTGGTAGCCACCAGGATCAGTAAAATGTCCACTGGTCCTGCTGAAAGTTTGATGGTCCTACCAAAATTGCACACGCAGCCACATTGAGCAATCCTTAGAGTAATAGGAACACAGATTTGTTTTATTCAGGTCTTCAATATTTAATTAAATTTGTCAAGTACATTTTGTGCTTGCCCACTAGATCATCAGTTTTATTAGATTAGCCGGTCTGCCGACTTTCCTACTGGCCTCAGGCTAGCGGACCACCAGTAATTTCAATTTAGAGAAATCTACATGCATTGATGATCTGGATGAGCCATTTTATCAGCTAGTGTCAGTGCTGACATCCTACTTTTTCATGATTTTTATCCACATATGGTCACGTGCTGTGTGACACATACATGTACCTATGTTATCTTCATGAACATACTTGTACATTGCTTGCCTACCATAAATTGTAACATGTCCCTAAAGGATATAATGTACATGTATGTAATGTTCCATCATGCTGGAAATGGCAACTCTTGGAGGAAGCCAACACACTTCATTCGTGGTCGTGATACAGTCTCCGTGCTATTGGAAACTTGTCTGGCTTGCCCTGTAATTTGCTTTTCAAGGTTGAGTAGACATAGAAGATATTTTTGTCTTCTCTTGTGTTCAGCAATGATAACGAGTAATTCAATACAAAAGTTGAATTTTATCAAACGTTCGCCATCTTCCTTGTTCTTGTAATTGAAGAGAAACTTCTCAAAAAATAAAGCAGAAATACAGTCAAACCTCTTTGCCATTCTGCTTATAATAAGGAAATGTTTAAGTTCCAGTCCTTTGCTCTTCATTGTTTTCATTCCTGAAAATACACGTACAAGGTTCCTGTTATAGGGAGGTACTTTGCAAAGTCTGAGTGACCTCTCATTAACAAGGTTTGATTGAATAAGGTTACGACACTATCTATTTTTTCCATTTCAGTTTTTTGAACAATAATTATCCCTAACCCCCTTGGCCTTTTTACTAGCATCCATCCTGAATCCTCTGAAATCCTCTGAATTTCAACATGAAAAAATTGCATTCAGCCCAAATCCTCCAAAATCCTCCAAACTTTCTTGAAAATGTCATTTGGAGGTGTGCCTAACAACCCCAATCCTTCAAAATCCTCTGGCAATTCCTGTCGTTATGTTGAGGCAGTGCAAATGGCACTCTTGAGCTGTGCAGTTGATTCTAACGAAATATCGGGCTGCATTTGTGCTTGACTAAGCACAAACGACATAAGGTCTAATCCACGACCTTCACGTATGACATCCTTCGAAATCAGCCATGCACTTTTGCCATACACCCTGAATTCTCCAAATTCCTCCAAAACCACCTGAAGGATTTTGGAGGATTGAGGAGGGTTAGGGCTATACCATGTGGAAATATTGAAGTGAAATAAATCACATCAGAATATTCACAAAGTATTACAAATACAGCAAAGATTCAGACATGAAGCTGTCAGATAGTTGGTTTAATATAGCTTGCTGTTTTGTTTATTTTAGGGTTAGATTGATGGTAAGATAAACACAGCTTTCAGTAACAATTTGGCATATCGTCCAACCCATTATTGTCGGAAAAATTAAACCAAATTTCATATGAATTGAAACGTTTCTCAAAAAAGAACATTTTTGGAATTATAGTTTTAAATTGGCGAACTTTTTATAATAGTGTAAGCTTATGTAAAAAAAAAGTAAAAAGGCTTTTTTTGTAAGTCATGTTCTGTGATGGTCATTTTTTCAAATTTATCAAAATTCAAACAATAAAAAATGTTAACAGCCAACCCTACAGGATTTGCTACCTACACGTATTCACATGCTGAACTCACAGATACTCACAGAATGCTTCTCTAAGCACTACACAAATTGATTTTGTCATTTACTTAGATAATATTTGCAATCCCTCCTCATTTTTTGAAGAGTAATTGCCTCGTCAATTATCTCAGAAAGTCTACTATTTGATGTTAGCAAGAAGCTTCTTCTGAATCACACTAACAGGTTTTGGGTTTGGCATAATGCCTTTCATTTTTTTCTGTCACACCATTTGTACCGACACCTCTGGTTAATACATTCACTTCCATTAAAAGTAATATTTATTTTGTTAAGGTACTACATGTGTGTACTTGTATATATCCAGCTGTCGGAGGTTTTGTTACTGCTTTGTTGACCTTTGTCCCTTGAAAAATTGTAAATTAAACATTTTCTGCCTGGTGTTGAAAAATAGTAAATTAAACATGCTCTGCCTGGTGTTCATGCATAAGAAAACCTCCCTTGGGACAGACTCACCACACATCATCCTCATTTCTTTGCAATGAAACAGGTGCTGTGATTTGATTGAATCAGGAGGCAAATTTTGCAGTGTACAGTAACGGGAAAGGGACTGAGACTTGTATGGAGTCTAGGTTGTGCGGATGCTGTTCATTGGCTATTTGTAGGAATATGTGCAAAGTAATACTCCCATATCATTTGATGCTGGCCATGCAAACAGAGGAGGCATTTGATTTTTGTACATGAACGCAGTAAGATCATAAATTGTGCCTGAGCTGATTCTTTCCTGAATCGTGTTTCGTCTGTATGATACAGCAATGTGGGATCATACTCAGCATGGTCACTGCACGCATCTTGTGAATTTAAATCACAGACGCTTTGTTGTACACAAGAGTAAGTAGGCATATAGTGTGACAGTGTTTCTTTATAGTATCAAACTAAAAACTGTCTACTAAATAACCAAAGAAACGATGAAAACTGGCCTTTTTGTTGGATGAGTAAACTTGAAAAAGGAATATGCTGTGAATTAACTGTACAGTTTTGGATTGTGGTTGATTCAGGAAGACTGCTTGAAATAATGCCCTGAGTTTCATGTACATGTACATGTGCACAAGTAACGGACTCATTAGTGGAGTGTAATGTTTTGACAGCAGGTGAATATTGTGAAAATGTAGAAGCTGTCTTTATCATCACACACCGATGCTACTATTGTTTGTTACTATTGTTTGTTAACAAAGAAACATAATTACAAACCAGCAGCTTGTGCGATTGGATGGATATTGGACATTTTTTCTGCAGTTCCAAAATCTGTTTCCCCACAATGCTTCAGTATCATCACATCTACCATAGCAACCGTTGGCTAAGATCACAGAATCTACTGAAGGCTGTTGGCGTGTTGTGTGAGAAGTTGTAATAAAACATACAGTACTTGCTCTCAATCTGTATTACGATTGCTGAAAAATGCTCATAGCACATCCGTGCGTACACCAGCAGAGAGACATCACCTACCTTTTTCCATTCGTGGCTGACTTCAAGAAGTAATGCGTGGTGCTCATGTTGTGTTTCTATTTACATTTACATGTTTATTCCAGAAATAGACTTGGAGAAGAAACTGAAGGATGTAGAGAGCGATTACTTTGCTCCAGCCGACTTTGGAGCAGCTTTCCTGGGTCCTAATAACCTCTGGGACAAGACTTATGGAGATGATGACTTTAAGCTGGAGTACATGGAACTGGATGAGTTCCTGTCTGAAAATGGCCTGCCTGTCAACACCGCTGAGCAGATCTTGAACAAGGACCAGAGTGATGTCACTGAGACACCTGTTCCAGAAAACAACCAAGAAGCAGCAGCTCAGGTCTTGACTCCACCAGATAAACCAGGTAATATCTTCTCTTCAGCTGGTGTACAGACAGAAGTGAACAAATTATTCTCAAAATGAGTATTCTCAACCTTTTTTTTTCCCCTGCTTTTGTTTGTACATTATTTATACCTCAACAAAGTTTTGGCATCAAGCCCTATGTAGTTTTTTCACGGACTAATCATAGGCTGCATTTTTTTCATAATATCTATCAGTCACTCCGTCAAGCCCAACAACTTCAGATCGCACAGCTAGCCCCGTTGATGTGAACATCAACTTTGATCTGTCGCCGACTGACATAGCCCTAGCATCTGTTCCAGGCCAAGAGGAATATGATCCTCGCACCAGATGCTTCTCAGAGGAAGAGTTGAAACCACAACCTATGATTAAGAAGTCGCGTAAGGTGAGGGTTGATGTTGGTACAGGTGATTCCACCTCAGTAAGATTTAACACTTTGCATGGTGGAAGTTGTACAGATGGGAAGGATTTGCTGGTACACCATGGGATCTCCCTCGTCAAGTAGAGGAGGGGTTCTGAAAAGAACTGGGGAGTGTTTAACTCGGTGTTTTGACCAGGATGCTCTGGCCACCTTCAGGAGAGTGACTTTTTTTCCTCAGGAGCATGCTTCATCTGATGTTTTCAGGTCAAGCCCCTGCTGTGACCCAAACGTGTGCATAGATATGTGCACTTTTCAAGGGTGACAAGTAAATCAGCACCTTATATTGGTTTGGGCCAACATGATGTGGAATTCAGTTGTGTTCATGGCTGAGTTTTGCCACACCTGCAAGTGTTACTACAATTTACATTCAATTACTTAGCCAGACATGAAATAACAATAAGCATATGGAATAATAGTACTTTGGATTTGCGTGACAAGAGAGAATAAAGCAGTTACTGTTGAGTCGGGGAGATGATGGCGACAGGCAAGGTGGACTGATCTTTGAAATGATTAATGATGGTAGCTTGTGTGCAGTGTCACGATACCTTGGAGGTACCTTGGTACCTGGGAGACTTGTAGTGAATATGTGTGCTTTGTAAATGTTGGTGCTTCCTTAACAAGCATTCAGTCTGTTCCATTTTGCTGCTTTCCATAGCCTTTGACTGTTTCTTTTGTTGTTTGTTGTGACTGTTTCAGGCTCCTTTTGTTTGAAATCCATTATTGTTATTATAATTTTTCAATCATACCTTGCATGTTTGGCTAGATTCTAATCTTTGTGCTTCTGTATGCCTAGGTCTATGTTCCGCATGAGGCTAAAGATGATAAATACTGGGACAGGAGACGAAAGAACAACATTGCCGCCAAGCGATCCCGAGATGCCCGCCGAATTAAAGAGAATCAGATCAGCATGCGGGCTGCGTTTCTTGAGAAGGAAAACAGCGCGCTCAGGACAGAGCTGATGGCTCTGAAGAAGGAAAACAGCAACTTGAAGTCCGTGGTTAAGTCATATGAACGGAAGCTAGGAATTCAGTGATTGAGTCTGGAGTGGTTCTGAGGTATAGGGTCAAAATGTGTGTGTTATAGGAAACCAAACTGTATGTGTCCATTATCCTCCCATGAAGTGCTTATATGATAAACCAGTGAAGGGAATGTCTAGGTTTGGGGCTTACACCTGTTCAAACATTCTATCAGTTGTACCATGAAGTGACCTATATCGGCAGTTACCCATGACCTGACCTTTATATGCGTTATTCAAGTCGACACACAATACATCACTTCATGTGTGTGTTGATGTCATTCACTTGGTGGTGTGACGTATCATTTGTTACAGTTTCCTCAGTTTTGTGGACGTTTTCATTTATATATTCTGCTCATTAGCAAGAGGCAGTTTTGCTGGCCATGCCGTACAGTTGCAAAGTTGTTAACTGTAAAGGTTAGCTACACCAGGCTTCTGTACAGAAGCAAAGAGATGCAGAGACAGACGATAGTTGTAATGGATGGTTATTTGGTGATCTGGTGTCTGGAACAATCAAGAACATTCCTGCTGTTGCCGGCTTTTTCCTCAGTGGCACAAAACGTTATTAGTTTCAGTGTGGCGATACTAAACATTTCGAATATTTGTGTCAATTTTAGAGAGATTGATTTAGAAGAAACTGCACCACAGTGGTAAGCACCTGTAATTTGGTCAGTGACATGTACATTCATTATATATTTCTAACTGCAGTGAAAAAGTAAATATGTTGTATGTGCTCACATTGCCTTAAGAAATTGTTTTTAGAAATGTCTTTGCTGATTACGTCTTTTTCAGTATTAACAGGGAATGAAGACAGGGTGTAAAGACAGATGTATCTAGGTCTTAAGCATTTTGTAACTGGTTAGAAGTTTAATCTTTCCTCAGTCCCCGCATATTTCCACAAATTCCAACAAATGTTTTTTAACAGTGTTGGCTTCAGCTGGCCTCATCTGCTTCCCGTCAGAGTCCATGAGATTTCAGCTGGGCTTTTTTGCTGTAAACGTAACGTTTTGCCTCTTAGGGGTCGTTCACAAATATCAACATTTTCACAAGCAAACAAACTGTACGCTGAGGGAAAGGGGTAAACACCCGTTGTAACTCTCAGAATTTTGAAAAATGACGATGCGTTTCCCATTTCCGGCACCCCTACTGTTAGTGCTGCAGCCGAACCACCAAACCGAACCCAAAAATCATCGAACATGGCACTTTCAAACCGAACCGAACCAAACTGGTCACTTCGGATGTTCGACTTTAATATGGTGTGGCACTGACAACGCACGTAATGCATGCAAGAGAACATGATAAAAATGCAAACACAACGAAAACTGGATAATGAGTAATGCTGCACTGGCGCAGTAAAGTGATGATGGCCCCGCGTCATGCAGATGGTTGTAAAATGTGGAGTGAATTCACTAATAATTAACAGAGAACTTGCAGCATACGGCATTTCCGCTACATAACAATTCTAAATTCTCACTACATCTAGTTGTGCTTATGCATATTCAGATTTAGTATTATGTTTGTTATCTCCGATAGCCACGCCCGTACGTTCCATATTAGACGAGTGATGTCATGAATGGCCTTGCAAAATGAATTTTGATTGGATGCTGATCATAGTCGGACACATGCTCTATTAAAACAACTCTGGAGGGAATCATCTGATTTTGCCAGCCGGCTGGTCCAGCATTCCATCCAGCACGTGACCATGGTTTGTGCGGTGGCCTAACTTTCCATTCGTTGATCATGTTTGATCGAAGTCTTAGTGTGAATACCTTGTAATTGAATTTTGCCAGATCTCTTAAGCTGTTTGCAAATCTCAAGTAACAAAATGACGTTATCAGTTTCAAAAGGACTGATGGAAAATTGCCCCGTGGATGCTGTCCTTGGAAAGAATGCTGACCTGATATCAAGGTTCTTCCCTCAAATGCATCGAATGCCATAGTTTGGTAGTTGAACTTGTTTCATGAAAAATAACTAAAACACCATTCACTCTAAATCTAATTTGATCTTGTGTCCTTTAAAGGAGGAAACTCCCATTTGAACACGCTGTTTTTTTCGTTTTCACATATCCTATGATCATTGTGTTGAGTCAAGCGCGGTCCAAACACAACCGCTTTTGATTGGCAAAACACCATCAGAAACTGTCCTGAAACACCTCCCATGGTAACTTTCTATGGAATGTTAACTCCAAACGTTGGGGAAACAGTGAAGAAAAAAAAATGTTCAAATTGAAGTTGTTCATTGACGGGGATGGAGAGGAGATTCATTGCTTGTATTAACGTATTTTATACACGGAAGTGCTAAGGCTTGTTCGTATTTCTCGATGTGCATTGTATATGTACGTACGCGTGTGCCCGTGTCCAAACCCAAACTGAACCAAAGTTCGGCAAACAATTTCCGAACCGTGTCTGAACCAGAACTTAACCTTGGCACCTACTTGCAGCACTAGGGGTCCGATTTGGGTCTGCCGTAGGCCTTACGCTGCATACGCCAGTGTTGCATGCACTGCGTGCGAGGTCCATGGAACACAAAGCGAATTGCATGTGTGTCACGTTGAGATAATGCAAAGCCAAAACCGGCTTCGTAATATGTCAGTGGTACTTACCTCTGTATAATTGTGCAGAAAAAAATCAATATTTTTTTTATACACTTTTGGGAAGGTCTAAAAAACAAACTCTTTATACACTTGTGAAAATGTTGATAATTGTGAACGGTCCTTTAAAGTGGTCTTAGTGTGATTAAAATTTCTGAAAACAAAACAAAAAAGAAATTATAAAATGTCACTCATTTCTGATACAGCATTTTATTGGCAGTATCAATTCAGAGCTCAAAAGGGACAAGTAATGAACTGTAGTAACCCCTTGCCCATGAGAACAGGTGCAGAGATGGTAATGAGATTATTGTGAATTGGAAGCTTACATGGCATAAATTTGTGCTCATCTTTAACCAAGATGAAAAAGAGCCTATTACTTTCTTTTTGTAAACTCCTTGGAGGATAATCTTGGTATTTTGAGTTCCTAAAATATCCTTTGCCCAGTACCTGATGTCGACAATACTAACAAATCACTGAAGATGGGTACCTTCCTTGCTTTAAGGAATATGATGTAGAAATACATGTACTTACAGCACAGCAGTCGTGGTACCAGATGTATCACTGTTACAAAACGCAGGGAAGCTCGTTATTTAACTATGGTTATTAGCCACAATCTACACACAGAACCCGAATACACAAGAATTTTCAGGTTGTATTGATGCATAATCAGGCCAATTGAATTCACTTCTTGGAAATGCTATGAATATTTTGTGTCAACAGGCATACAGTTTTGTATTTGTCTTGTGTTATTCTCAGAGCCAGAGCTTACAGCTGAACGAGGAAGAAGTCCATCTTTCTGCATTAATTTTACATGTACCCGAACAGACTTTTGTCTTGAAATTTCGATATACAACACTCTTCTTTGCAGAGTTTTAAAAATGAAAGCTAAATCCTAATGTTAATTCTTGATTGTACTGTTTGTATTTTAGCAGGCTGTGTGGAATAATACATGTTATTTTAAAAAGTACCCCAAAAAACAACTGGTCATCTTGTCCAGTTGGCACACACAACCACTTGTATTGCTTGATCCTGCCTCAACTACACATTAGAAAGACAGGTATAAATAAATGAACAAATTCTGTAAATAGATTCTACATATTGATATTCACTTGATGTAAGTAATATTTGCGTAATGATCTTTTAGGGAAGAGGGTTAGTAATGGGCTGATGATAATAATGCAATAAAAACCTGTGGGAATGGGGTGTTGATGACTCTCTGATCTGAACAATTTAGTAGAACAATCCCAAATACTCCAATTTTAATATGATTTTACATAAACCGTTGGGGGTTAGGGTTCATAAGAAGTATGTGTTGTGCAGTGTCTTATAGTTGCAAAAAGCAGAATTTTCCTTCATGTACATGTATGTTACTTTAACAATAGAATTTTAAGGCATGGTATAATGGCTTTTTATGTATCACAGTATTCTAAAATTCATGTTCAATAGTAAAATATATTGAATATTGATTACTCTTATTCAGTATACATACACATTGCTTCATTTCTTTTAACCCTAAAAGAGGCCCTTTGGTGTTTTCTAAATTATTTCATGCAGCAAGCCATTAGGAGTGATTAAGTTACATGTTGCTGTCACCTTCACACCAACTAAATGAAAACTGGACATACCAATCTCGTGCAGCGCCCATTTTTCTGAGACAGGTCAGCCAAAAATGTGTACATGTGCTTCTTCCACTGACTGATCATTGCATCTAGCCTTGACCTCTAAATGACTAGAACAAAACTACTTGTTGTATTTAGTTGAATCTTCACCTTTATACTCTGATCATGATTTTTTTACATGCATGTGAAGTTTTACAAAATCAAGCATGGGACAGCCCAGTCCTTTGGGTCGGAATCCCCCCCCCCCCGAGATGGTCTGAAAAAAAAAAGATTAAAGACAGCTCTAAGGTTTGAGAAAATCTTGTTGCGGTTGATGATGTTTTTCTCTTGTTAATAACGATGATTTCTGTTTCAAAACCTGGTCATATTTGGCTTCTCTGAGAATTACGGTTATTTAGACTGATTTTAAAGCAAAAACTTATTGTGTAAAACAAGTTTCATGTAAATGATAAGAGGTATGCACATAAATATGAGAGGACGTATGTGGAGTGTTTATTTTTGTCAAAATAAATTGACGTCTTGATGTGTGACCTGCAGTTTTAATCCTGCAGTTTTAATCCTCACTTTGTTACAGTCAGGCACTAGTTTTCACTAGAGTAATGATCACGTAATAAAAGCCAGGAAGTAAACATCTGTGAACGTGTATTTGAAATGATTTTTAGATTTGTGTGTGCTGTTTTATGTTTAGCACTTACTAACAGACTTTTCAGGAAACGCTCTGCTAGAGTAATGCCGGGTAGAAGGAAAACAGTTGAATGCAGGGTTGGGGGAGGGGGTATGGATGCACTCGAACCGGAAGGAGTGACTTATTTTTGTTTTTTTATTGAATTAAACAAATTTTGTAAATTAGTATGCTGAATGTATCACACATCTGAATTGGTTGAAATATTTAGCTTGACCCTTAGCCTATCCCCCCAAAAAAATTCAAACTGAGAAACCAATATTAAATGTGTAAAAACTAAAATTGACTGGAAAATGGTACTCAAAATCCACCCTCGCATCACATTAATTTTTATTAATTCAGGGGTGAGATTGACCAATAAAAAATAGCTGTAAAAGGGCCTAAAAAAGCAACTGTGAAAATCTCTGATACTTTTGTACACAACCAGTGAGGAAAAAAAAATGAAATCCAGAATTAAAAAAAAATGCTGAAATCAGCTAAAAAGATGAGAAATCTCACCCCTGTTTATTTTACTGACTGTGAAGTTTGATAGTTTGGGTTTAAGTTTGGTCACTTGGAACTTAATTTTATAGAATTTGTTTTGGTTTGGGGGGTTTTTAAAAGTCCTGATTGCTTTCAGATCTTTCAATCCTGTGGTTGCCTGTAAAGTGGTAAATCTGAAAAAAACTAATACATGTAGAATCTGAATTTTAAAACTTCATGTAAAACAAAATTGGTACCAGATTCTTTTACATTCAAATTTTCCCCCAGTACTGAGTGGACGCTTTGCCTAAGCATAATCCTAACTCTTTTACTGGTACATGTTTGTACCTCTAAGGCAATAGCAGTGCCTTCGGGTGCCCTCGTTTAAAATCTTGAATGAACAAAAACTAATCACATACTTCGTTCAATTTACTTTCGGTGCCCATTCGGTACCTTCTAATGATGAAACATACAACTGCCGTCAAATTTTGTTATGTACACAACAGCCGTCGAATATAATTTTTCAAGACTACCCACAATTCCTGTATGCAGATTTATATATCCGGTCTCTTTTTAATGCCAGTCTACGGTACGTGCCATTTGGAAGGTAATGGTGCCAAAAAATCAGCAAACATCGACTTATTTTAGAGGTTTTCATCATTGTATCTAATCTAATTCGTAATTTCAATGTCTTTGCCATCATTTTTTGTTGTTTTTGCGTCAGAATGCAGTTGGTAAAGGCTAAATCTGATGATAAATTTTACCAGCCATGTCGTGTGCCGACACTCGTCAGTCTAGTCATTGACAGTGTACAAACTAGTATTCTGACTGTAGAAATGCTGAGTCGGCCCTAGCCCCAGACTTGGGGCCGGGTCCACTGGACTACCTCCGTATTCGTAATTTTGGCCGCTCAACGTACCCCCAGAACTGTGGGGTCTGACGCCCGCCCCACTCCCACGAACCCAACACTCCCCAACAGAAAACGAGCCTTTTTTGCATGGTATAGGCTCCACATCAGTACATGACGTTTAACTAAGGGCACGAACAGGGATTTTATTCTGGTTGTGTACCCATAGAAATGCTGCTCTATTCAAGTATTTCCCCCAAGAGTTCTATGTTGATGTATGGTTACTTGCATGCCTTCGTACTAGTACCAAGGAAAAAATGGGAGAAAACCATGCCATTTTCAAAAAAAAAGGTGCAAATATTTTTTCTGAGAGTCATGCAGTTCACATGTGTACTTGCGAAGACGAGCCGCGACCAAATGGTGAACTATGGGTGCGACCAATACACTAGACATGGAAATTGGCTAAAGTTGCATTCCGTATGTGTGTGTGTGATTCTTAGCCTGGTTGAAATGGCAGTTGGCTGTGGCGCGGGGGTCACACTGTCACTGACCAATCACAGAGCTCATTATTTAAGCCTGAATGGCAGGAACGACCAGCAACAGCTGTTGGGTGCCAGTGCACGTGAGTGTGCTGTCGCAACATGAACAATATCTGTTGAGGCCGTATGTGGATGCGGACAGGCATTGATCTTTGTCCACATCCACAATGATCCACCCAAAAAGTGGAGACTCCGCGAAAATGCCTTCTGTGAATCCCACTGCACGTGTATCGTGTATGGCACATTCACCCCATCTTACCATTGTTGATGTATTAATATGGGCGATTTTCAGTTTCTAGAAGTCTGTGATAATTTTGGTTTCAATTTGGCATGTTTGGTCGTCCTCACATCACCCATTCGTTTATTGCAACTCCCGATCATTGACCAATGCCAAACACAGTCTGACGCTTATTGACGCTTTTTGACGCTAAATAGCATGACCTGTAGTAGAGTCTAAGTACATTCCATAGGCTTCTATCCATTAATGCATTTTCACATTATGAGATTTTTGTTTGCCAAAACTGAGTGCAGAATTTGTTCCTTTCTTCAATTAAACATCGGCACTCATATCAGCAAGGAAGGTCAAATTTTGCCGTTCAGATGTTTTGTCGAGTTGCCCAACATCGGCCCAATCCAATGTTCGATCCAATCATCGGTTGATCCCTAGCAGCAACTTCCAGACTAAGGCCAGTCTAGTGCTAGGACTGGACTGTCTTACAGGCTATATGAAAACAGTCCTTGGAAACTCCACTGTTCCATGCAGGGCTTCTCTTACATGTACCCAATCATTTTCTTCATGCACCAGAAGCTGCAATCCTGTCATTTGCTTTTTTGACAGATGGCGAAGAAAACTGACAAGAAGAAGGCTCGTTCTGCCTTGAATGAGGTGGTGACAAGAGAGTACACTGTCCATCTCCATAAGCGCATCCATGGAGTGTGAGTTGAAACTTTAATATCTTTTTCTACAACATACTTGATGTGTTAGTAGTGAACTTGATATTCCTTGCATCTGCTCATTGATGCACCTGCAATAATAATTGCTACTTTGTTTGCACATGAAACCTCATATGTTGTACTCTGAGGTCCCTGTATGCAGTGATGCAACCAATCTTCAAGGGATTACACATTATCGTCAACTAGAGTGTAGTCCAGCTGTGGGGAGTTAGCTTTCAGAACCATGAGATGTTTTTTCTAATTTCATTTGTAGACGGTGTTCATGGCCAGTGTTGTACTCTTCTTTCCTCCATTACCTCCCACTAACCAGCGATAAACAGCATAATGGCATCATTTTCTTCCCCCATAATGAGAAGAAATTGAGATAATCAGTTGTGCTCATGTGGAACCAGTGACGCAACCCCAGTCTGAGTCTTGCTTGGTTCTGTATAAACCCGACTATTGTACAACAGGACTCATATCTTTGTCATTTCTTATTGACTGATGCAGGTCTTTCAAAAAACGTGCTCCCCGTGCCATCAAAGAGATCCGGAAGTTTGCCATGAAAATGATGGGCACTGAAGATGTACGTGTAGACACAAGACTCAACAAACACATCTGGTCAAGAGGAGTCAGGTAAGTAACCACCGAGTTGATTTATTCTATCTTTATTTGGTTCTCACTGGTCACAGATATAGATGATTTCTTTTCACTCGCGCAAGGCAACACAACTTCATTACTGACACAGCCGAATTAAAAAGTATGCCTTGAACGAATGTATTGTCTTTATTCATGGGTCATATTCAAGTGAAAATTGAAAGCAATGTTACCTCTCCTTTTTTGTAACTTGAGGGTAAAATAAAATGAAATTTCATGACAAATTAATACCTGTGTACTTGATAATTTATGTAATTGAACATATCTTAGTATTTTCAACCAGATTTTGAAAAGACTTAAAGAGAGGCTTGGAACACACACCAATTGTAAATAGTCTGTTACCATCCATATTAACAGTTTACACTTTATAAAATGGATTCAGGGAATAAGATTAAAAACAGCTTCCACATTGTTTCACACTGATCTGGATCTCGATCAGTGATCCCATTGTTGGTTTGCTCCATCCATTAGGCGGGTTTTGGCGTCAGTGAACTAATGATGGATCACTGATCGCAATCCAGATCCGCATGAATCAAACTGGCCCAAAGTCTGTGGGTGAAGAGTTTTAAAAAACCACCCAAATGATCATGTAAAAAATTTCCTGGATCAGACAGAGATCAGAAACCTATTATGTTCTTTGTGGTTGCTTTCCAGGACCATTTTACCTTCTACTCAAGCTAAGTGTATTGGCCGACTGCTTAAGATGAGTGTTCAAAGGCTTGAGGTGTTGGCATGTGACCTTTAATTCATAACCTTTAATCTTTGACAGGAGTGTACCATTCAGAGTGAGGGTACGTCTGGCTAGAAAGAGGAACGAAGATGAAGATTCCCCACACAAGCTGTACACACTAGTCACCCATGTTGAAGTCCCCTCATTCAAGGGTATGTACATGATTCAGACATGTAGAAGCATAGTGTACAGAGAGAATTTATCATAGAAGAAATCCTCCAGGAAAGGTGCAATGGATTTAGCAGGATAGGGAAGATGATATCCATGCTGTATTATTTAAAATAACGTGTGAAAGTGTTAGTATAAAAGTGCCTTGAAAGTTAAAATGTAGAAAAATTGTGATATCAATGCCGACACCATGAAATAACACCCAAGTCCTCTCCAGTATTTCTTTGTGAAAACTGCTACATGACATTTTGGTTTCACGAAGTAACACCTAAAGTTGCACGCACATATTGGACACTCGCTGGGGAAAATCACTTTCATTTTCACCGCTACAACACTAGTATGGAAATGCAATTACATTAATAACCCTCCTATGCTGAATTCACTCTTTGGGTGAGATGCTAAGCTGTACTAATATGTACAGCTGTGTCATATTATGCACTGCACCAACAGTCCCTCACAGGAATATCAGATTGCACTTTTGCTCTGCCCAACAACTGTGCTTCACTGTTTCATGTGCATAATTGTGCAGTAAACCAAATGCAGTGAAGAGGACTGCACAAAAGACCCTGGGTCATTTTTTTGCTGGCGCCCAACTGTGTACACACTGAACCTGTGCATATTTATGGTTCCGTATACAGTTACTTTTGTTGATACGAGAGTCATCTCGTATATCCAGAACCTCATCCTAAGTGAACAATTTTTTCCCTCTTGTATGCATAATAATTGATAGTACATGTACCAGTAATGTATCAAATTCATACGAAAGTATTCTTGAAGCAAAAATGATTTTGCTGTCAAAACAGTTCAAAGATGTTCTTTATGAAAGAAGAATGTACTTGTAAATGACTACAGAATTTTGATAATAAAACTTGTATGATAATAATTGAGGACAAAGAAAATTACTAAAATCATCATGTGTCATTGTCCAAGCGTTGAGACCCCGACAGTCATGGTCAATGTCACTAGAGAATGCGCACAAAAGTACATCTATATTTTAGTTGGTGACCGATTACATAGTTCCAATTTATACACGTACAAAGCGAAGGAAACCAGTGAAATTTTGTTGGACAGTAGAGAGCACAGGCTGCTGTATGGGTAAAATGTTTTTCAGGGAGAAGTGAAGGTGATTTTTTTTTTAATGTTTTGGATTTAGAACTTGTAAATTTGACTTCCAAAGAGACATTAAAGGGTTGGCGAACAAGAGAAACATGAATTTTATGTCAGTTTTTAAGTCTGGTAGGGGCATTTTTCTTTTCTCTTTTTCATGTTTTGGTGGGGAGTTTGTGACTTATAGTTTTATTTGGGCCCTCTTGTGGCCGAAGAATTGCAAACGCCCATTGTCCATTATGTTCGTTTGGATTGGGCAGCATGAAAGCCCCCCTCCCAGAATACCCAACACTCGGGGATCTTAAATGCTCCCAAACTGCAGTTGTGGATTAGCGAGCATTATCACCAGGGTTCTCCCCAGGAGTTTTCAAAACTGGGGGGATTTCCATTCTGGTTTACCAACATTTTGTGAAGCCATGGCGTAGGGTTTGGGGCCCGCCCAAGGCCCTGAAAATTTTTGACCTTAGGGACCCTAATGGAAATAAGTCTGTGTAATTGACTTTTTTGGGTTATCCCAGAATGAATCAACTGTGTCTTGTTTTCTCTGTGTACGATTGTTGCTTAGTTGATTGATTTCTGAATAAAAAAAAATAATAAATATATGCTCTCGGCTGCAGTTTAGAGCATTTCCTGGGCTTTTCAAGTACCTTTTCTCAGGAAAAACATAAGAGATTCAAGAAGTTTTTTTTTTTAATTTTGGATGTCAATATTTTAACAAATGACCAGTTTTCCTTTCTAGACTACTAATTATAGGCACAAAAGGAGTCATTTAATATTGTAGACATGCAGCAACATATAGTGGCAGTATTTATCAACGATATAAACACCTGTTAATTAAGTTTTCATTTTAATACATGCTTCAACCTTTGGTTTTTGCTGATCAGACCTTCCTTCGCCGGCGCCTTACATGCACGTGCTGCAGGTGGCTGCTTTGTCTGCCTTTGGGTTTCCCTCAGCGTGGACTGCTGATGTTATTGGCTTAAAAAAGAGGCTGCAAATGTATCTTTGATTAAGTTTCTCCCATTGTGTGCGAGACAAAACGCGGTGAAATGGCAACAAGAAATATCTTCCTTGTCGTAGATGCCATTAATACTGTTACACAGGGCTACGGCTGCTGCCATGAATAAAATGTGTGTGGGGTCGAATGTTGTAAGTTCTGTGAATGGTGTAGTATAAAATTTTAACCTTCATAAATGCAGCCCCACTAGCTGATTGAGCACACGGCACAGAGAAAACACACATGCGCGCGGGTGCAAGTACGACACCCATGACCGAAGTTCAGATTTCATGCAACACCGGCCACTGGGAACGTTTGATACTGATGTACATATACATGTACGGTGTGCAGTGTGGCTGCCGACACGTGGTGTACAATGCATGTACTATGTAGGCTACCTATAGTATGTACATATTAATGGAAAAATGCAGGACTATTTACTGCTTTTTGGTCTAGATTTTCCGGACATGCGATCTGCATTATGTAAGATAATTCTGAGCCATACTGTCATAATTATATTGTGCGTATCGGGGATGAAAAATGGGTATCGGCCCGTTTTTTGTGTATTGGGCAGAAATAATTGCATATTGGGCCCGATATGCAAGTTTGTACGTGGGGAGAACCCTGATCACTGCGCCGAGTACAACAGCACCTGTATTGAATGGGTTCGCTGATTGACAAGTTGTAAAATGCTTGTACTAAATAGATAACAATACACTTGCACTCAACCTGGCCGGAAAAATGCCCGTCTTAACCAAAACCTCATATCACCCAAGCTTGTGTTAAAGATTTTTTTCTTCATAGGAATGTACACACTTTGGTCGGAACTGATGACATATGCTCATCTTCACTGGAATCTCATCTTATCTGAGTTTGTGTTACTGAGAGCCAGCATTAGTGCATATTTGTGCTGTTAAACCATAGGAGGGTTGATGTCATTTTATAAAACTTTTGACAGGAATGTAGTCAATCCCAGTTCTTGTGGTATTACAGAAAAGAATAAAACCCTTCCAAGTGGTGAGATCAAGATGGGTAATACCTTCTGAAAAAAATGGTAGTGAGCTAGCGTTGGCGTCGTGTCGTGTACACTTAAGTCCACCTGGGTGTTACTTCATGGTGTTGGTGACAGTTTCTATATTTTGGTAGGTTTCCAGTAAATTTGTCAAGGGTTATAGGTTCAAGTTTTCCTTGGCAATATTCTGTAAGAATTGCAGATTTTGCACAAAATGTATGTTGTGCAAGGAATCCAGTTGATTTGGGGCAGTTAAGCAGGAATTAATTTTGTCCACTTGCCTGTGGAATTTTGAGCAAGAAAATTAAACAGTTAAACATACCACTCTGAAAAAAAATTAAAATGATAAAATTATTTGTCATTTCCTTGTGCCGGAGGCATATTAAGGACGAGTAACTTCTGGTTAATTTGGTTGGGTAAATTTTTCTGTCTTGAAAGTAAGCCTTCCAAAAGTCCCCCCAATTTAGTAGCCATTGTTTACTCTGCCTTTTTACTTGAAACTACATGTACATGTTGTCTTATTCTAGTATGTTCCTTTTCATTTGGTTTGCACAGGTCTACAGACTGTCAATGTTGATAGTGAAGACTAACTGGTCATGGACAAGGGTCTTCGGGGATAAGGTCAAAGTTGAAGAGGTCATCTGTGTCTTGGTTACCTCCACTGATTGGCCCATTCATTGTGGAGAAAGCATCTGCTCATCATTGCATCTCGTGTTGCATATTTCTAAGGGATTTACACACTCTGATGCTGTATCATGTTGGATTGGCTATAAACAATAAATAACACCTGTGCAACAGAATTATTGTAATATCAACACTGCTATGTATAATTGCTTGTCTTTGTTGAAATGTGTGGTGTCTTGACTTACCTTTTTGAATTGTAATTCCTTGATGTTTTAAATCAAACATGTCGTTGCGTTCACTCCCCGCCCAGCCCCGCCCCGCCCCCATTGCCATACCCCTCCCAGCCAAAGCTCCTTCTGGTAAGCCGAGTGCAAGAGAGCGAACGATATCCACAAGCTTCGTCATGTACGTGCAACTGTAAAGCTGTTTACAAAATCTCTGTGCAGAGATTTGGACCAACTTCTACTACATGTACATGTTTAGTGAAAAAAAAAATTTTTTTTGAAATTTGATAAAAGAAGCCGGCGGTAAATGACCGGGTAGCCGGTGAAATCGCTGGCAGTATGGGTGCTTCGTGACAATACTGCCCCATGTGAGACTTGGGTATTTATTTTCTGCCATATTTACCCGTATGGAGATTTATTTTCCTGTGAAATACCAGGGAAATCCAGTGTTGCCGGAGTTAGTTGTAGTCTTGATTAAAACAAGAGTCATGTAACACCGTTCCTCGTGGACACGGCATAACATCTTACAGTCATCCACTAGGATCCTTGTCATACTCTTGTTTGCGGGATGAAATGTGCAATTTCGTTTGGGCGTTTCTGATGTGATCTTTTTTTTTTTAGGGGGGGGTTACACTTTGTTAATTAACCCTCGGCCCTTCCATTCCCTTCAAAAACAGCGCCATGCCTGACAATTACCAGGAAGTAAAGTACACTGTAGGGGGTTACCCCCTGTCTTGTTCAAGATCCACTTGTGTCATTGAGAGAATTATCGGTCGTGGATTTTGAACTGTAGTGACAAAGGTAAAAATTGTCGTTTTTGAATTTTTGTTCTCTTTGGGCAGGTACATGATGTATAAGTACGTTGTTCGTATTTCCGAATGTTCCCTCACGTATGACTGAAAGCGATGCACTGAGGGGGTTGAATTTCATGTTGACTTAAAATATGGCGTGAAATGATCTCAACACGCACATTAAAAATAACGCAACTAGCAACAATCAGCAATCTGATTGTTAAAGTAAATCGATAACTTATCATGGCGTACAGTCATAATGAACAGTCCCTGCAGCCATTATGATCAATTTGTGATTAATGGAATTCAGACGAGGCGAAGTCTAGATGTCAAGTGGTTCACCTGTGTGGTTGCTGTAGCGATCATAAAGATCACGCAATAATCATCGCAACACCACTCTGGCTCAACCATGAGTCCGTGACTCCATGCCCACATGCAAAATGTTGGTAAGTTCTTTCGACAAAAGCTTATAATTAGACTGCTGTACGAAATTTTACCTCTGTCACTTTTATTGTTAACATGGATGAGGTATATTTCAACTGCTTCATTCCATTAAGCTCTGTTTGCAACAGGAAGGTTTTACATGCCCAGGCACGGATGCTATTATATTCATTAATTAAGTGGCACTGTAGAAAGATGAAGTTGCTGGATTTGAAAGGAGCGCTCCGACCTGTGCTTTGAAATAAATTGCCGGCTTCACTTACTGTGACGCGTCATGCACATTGGCAGATGTTGACAGAGGGAATCGCTGGACCTTGTTGGGCTCGTGTGTTGTTTTTAACATTTCTTTCACTTGATACAACCAACTAACCCGTGGTATGAGCGAAAAGCATTGTTGCTATGAATTGCAGACGTGATCGAGTTGGCCCATATACCCGGGACATGGTAATGGGTATTTTACAACGACCGTGAGACCAAGATGTTTTTGTTGCGCGAAAATACCGGTCATATCCAATATCCAGACTTCATTGTGAATTTCCTCTATACGTGTAGCCAAGGTTTTGTCATCGAATACTTATTTGTGTAGTGCTGGCGTCAAAACGATTTAACTTGGCTCTGCTGTGAAAATTAAGTCGAGAATACCGCTTCTGCTAATGCATAGAAAGTAACTTAAAACGTACACTGCGGCAGATACTGCATATATGAGTGTACTTGTGTGTTCATTTGCCCAGTGGAAGAAGCAGCTACATGACTGTAAAGTCAAAATAACGTCTTCAGACAATGTTGATTGGCTCATCACTGGTAGGTTTGTCTCTCACCAACTTTACGCAGTTTTGTAATTCATGAAATAGAGACGGTTGGACGGCTTCGATTGTTCACATTATTGTCTCAATACTTGACCCGTCGGTGATGAGGGGGTTCGAACCCTGCACATTTATCCATGTATCCCATCTACATTGTACAAAAATAGGCCTATTTTATTGTTTGCATAAGGGGGAACCGGCTCATCACTCCACTGTTCTACAGATTTTTCAGAATATGAGACACTGTTGAGAATAGGGATTGTTGTGGTTTAAAACTGATCAATTCAGTAATTGGATGGTTAAATAAAGAACTAGTGTTCCTCTTACAGGTGTCGTTAGCTTGTTTATGTTGTCGATAATTTCTGTCTTTTTATTCCTGTGTTCTTGTGACGGTTGGTTTTGTGTGTCCATTTATTTCTTTCCTGCATGCTTGTTCTTATGTCTGTCCACCTGCCTTACTGTTGGGCTGTCAGTCTTTCTCTTGTTCTGTCGGTCTGTCTGGCTGTTTGTCAGGGCCTTCGAGGTCTGTTGTACTGGTATCCTTTGACTTTCTTCGGGCTGCATGCGCTTTGTTTTAACTTTTCTGTTTTCCGTCTGTTTTCGGTCGTTTTTTCACCTTTCGTCTGCGCAGTTGCGTGTAATCCTGGTGGTGTAAGATATGCTTCAATATTCCTTTTGAATATTGTGTTGCGTAATAGACGATTTTTTTCACTCCATTTAAATACATGCTATGGTAAAATACTTGATGGTAAAGTTATTACAATCCTGTAGGAGCATGGCTTATTCGAGTGTTCGGATTTTGTGTCCTTTTAAACATGCATCTCGTATATGTTTATCTTGTGTTTGACTGTATCTAGCTGGATGTTTCATTTATCATTGTAAAAAGCAGCTGTCAAAACGAAACATGTATACCTTCACGTTAAGTTGAGAAAGAGTTTAATATTACTTGGAAATGGAAGATTTTTACTCATTGTTGTCAAATGCATGTAAACATTATTTGGAAAGAATTGATGTATTATCATTGTTTCAAACTTTTGCGGACAAGGAATAGAGAAGAGTACCCGTCCAAGACAAGAATGGATCCATTCAAATCTCAAAGCGATCGAAATTTCACTTCCCTGGTGTCTGAGATAATGATCAAGAATGAGACCTTGCTGTCTGCGCATCATGCTGAGAGGAGTGACTCTGGACTGTACAAGGCGCAGTTCTTGAAATGGTGGGAAGAAAGAGGAAGAGATGAAAAACTCAAAGGTGAGATTGGCTATACGTCGCGTGAAGGCTGAACTTCGTTCTTTGGTAAAGTTTGAAAATTTTCGTCGAAACCACGTGCGTTCAGTAATCATTTGCCTTTAATTAAACATGCATCAAATGTTGCCATGACAACCACAATTCCGCTTGAAATCCTTTCAAAGGTTCCTAATTAATTTGCAGTAATTGGAGACTGACTTCCAAGTTAGTAGATTGAGTCCGTGTACTTTATATAAAGTGCAAGAGTCAATCACAAATATGGTGTCTCATAAAGGCCATTATCATCAACGAATAGTGGGTTCCCCTTTTCCATGACTTTGCAGTGGTCGACCCTTATTTACCTTGGTCCGTGCACTTGAAGTCAAAGATGAACTCTTCGTGTAATTATTAGCATGACATTAAATCATACGAGCCTCCAATCAACAGATTGTCGGGCATCTGCGGTTAACCGTGTGTTTATGAGTTGCTATGGAAACGGGAACATCGAGTAAAGCCCAGATGCAGAGATTGTTTCAGTAGTTGATATTTGTGGACGGGAAACCGAGTTTCGTTGAAGATTCATGTCAAAAGAGTGAACTTCTTGCCTGTTACGAGTGTTCATATTTGGTCATAAATGTTGATCACGTAGCAAGACAGAAAGAACCGAGTGTCCGTTGGTACATCTGGATCAAATCGAATTTGCTGAACAGGGCCTACTTGTAATGAAATTTTTCGATTATCTAAAAATGCGTTACTGTTCCTTATGACTTTAGGAAATGTGAGAAACCATCCAATAATCTTACAATTTCAATCTGTTTCTTTGCAGTCCGGCTTGTCATGTTTTTAAAAAATCCGTAATCGTGTTTACGTGGCGCGATAAATGATCTGAAATCGTTAACCCAGCCATAGTGGAGAATAACGGATGGCCTCGGGGTAAATCATATCCTAGTATGTATTATATTCAATGATTGCCCGTGTGGTCTTTGTAAAAAACATCTGCCTTTGTCACAAGTTGACCTGAGTTTACCGTTGTCACAGTGCATGCACATGGCAACGTGTATGAAGTCAGGTTGTTGGCAGTTAAATCAATGACTACTGACTCTGCGGTATGGTTATACACCACCGAGTGTTTGTTGGTACTGCCTCCTTGGCTAGTAGATTTAGCATTTAATTTCACTGAATTCACGACTGATTGGGAGAGAACAGAACTAGTTACCATGTATGATATTGGTAATGGTGGTGTCTCCGAATCGGAAGGTAGGTTGTGGAATGAATAAAATTTTAAATTGTGCATGCATTTCGGAAATGGAGTGCGTAGGTGTTAGCCTTGCATCGAGGTCTGTGAATGCAAATTATGAGTAGGATAATCTTGGTTTTATTTTATTTTAGAGTTTGAGATAGTAGTGTGTGTTATTTTTTGTTGGAAGATGTGATTGAACGCAATTAGATGAAGTATACCGTCGTTTCGGCATATCATGGAGAAGTATGTATTTTTCCAGTTGTAAGTAATTTTATTCAGATTTATAACTTCCATATCCGTAGGAAAAAGTATTTTTAAGCAAAAAAATGATTTCATAACAACACCAGACTCCTAATTTGGAAATGATTGCTAAACCTCTGAGACGGTGTGATGGGAGGGGAGCATGGAAGTTGACACGTTTAGTCTGAGCAAGTTCAGCTGCGATAACGTTAATGATATGCGCTGTTATTGATGTCTCAAAAAATGATTGACCAAGTCGTACTATTGGCTACAAAATAATTGAGACGTTAGGATAATTTGAAACTTCACATAGAAGCTGAGTGTAACCTTAGTGATGGGATAACCAGTCCTTCTCAATCGTTGCCTGGATTCTCCTCTCCGTCGGGTGGTAAATGGAGTTGCAGTATTGACTTAAAGATCATAAAAGCCGCTATAACAGGAAAACCAGCCGAGTACCAACCCGTGGTGACGACAATATGCATTTGCTATAACCAACTTGTTTGTGTAGCTGTCCAATGACTAGCTATGGGCTGCCACATCCAAGCTAGACAAAATAAAATGTAGACTACTTTCCTATTACAACCTTGGGGATACCACGATGCCGTGCAATGTTGCACTGGTTTTAAGCCTCTGGGCTCCTTTTAAAATTCACTCGACATTGAAATAAAGAAAATGGGTTAGGTGGCGGTGCCAAATGAGAAGACTTTGTTGCGGACAAAGACCTAACTGTCTCCACAGCTACCAAACACTCTGTACCACATGGTAACAACAACTGTGTTTCTCATAGACCATTCAATTTGTGCAGCTTACTCTGACAACTTTCTAAGAAAATGTGTTAAAGTAGCCCGAAGGGATGGCTGAGTTAAATATCTGCAAACATTTCAATTATCAAAGTTTATTTTAGAATATGGCATCCTCGTTCCATTACACAGTAAGGAGGCTAGGTGGTGTTGATGCATTGTGCAGCCTTTACGATCTCGCAGAACTGACGTTCTGGTGCGTGCTTTGGAGTTTCATGGCGCCCGATTATTTTTGAAGACCTTTGAGTATTCATTACGGTTATAGATCAGTCTCTGTCAGATGGAGAGAAAACATATGCAGGAAGAACTGCTGTAGCTTTTGTAATTAAACTTTGGGACGAATTCAGCAATAAAGCCGACAAGTAGACTTAATGATGGTTTAGAATTCAACTGCGTAACACGAATCATATCGACTGTGGTGTATGATTTCTACCTGAATTTAGTTACACGAAGCTGTGCTGGTCAGTCAGTTGGATAGCTAGGGACTCCTGAAATAAAATCATGATTGATTGTATAAGAAATTGAATGATTTTTTTCCAGAGGAAGATGCGATTGAGACAATCAAAAGGCGTCTGGAAGAGATTGGAGGAATGATGACCAGTCGACGCCCAAGAGTCGTCGAGAATTCAATGGACAGAATGGCCACACCACTACGTGAACATGTGAAGGTAATACACTGTATCTGAAAGTGGGGAAATGATGTGGGAGGTATTTAAGACTGGTTAAACTTTTCAGTAAAAGTAATCACTTTTAAATCGTCGTTGATGCTTGGGGAATGAAACAAAGTAACGTTTAAAATCTGTGGCAGTTTTGCTTTCGAGCTATGAATGTTTCTCTTTCAGGTCGAAATTGTAAACCACTAATTTGAAAGCTGTCTAACACAAAAAGAAGTAATTTTGACAGCTATTTCTTTTGTTGGTGTCAATCCGCAAGTCTGCTTTGCTCTTTGTCATTGTTTAAACTCCGGTAAACCATTTTGCGGAAGGCCCCGGCTGTCGAAGAACACAGCATTGAATTATTGGGGGTTTCACGATCGTCACGCCGAGGTCTTCTGCACAGAAATCTGCCTTTGTTTTCACTCTCTTCACGAATTGCTTGGAAATGTTAATTTCCAGAATCAAAGATCCAGCTTATTCCTGGCCTTAAAATAGCTCGTGGCAAACTTTTAATATTCATGAAATTGATTGAAAAATGCAGATATCGAGATGAGACGGTCCCAGTTTCCCAAAACGCTGAAAACAGAGTGCTGATGGAGCGCACAGCGATAGCGTTAATATGCAGTAGATTCACGGCAGAATAATCGCATTGCCGTGCACTTCATTACCTGAAGTCCGGGACTCGGGTTGAGCAAATAATCACGTTTTTGTCAATGTTTGTTGCATTAGCGGCTTAGTGCAATCACACCGAAGACTTACAGGAGGCTCCGACTGAAAGACAAGGGGAGCTTGAAGGTAAGCGGACAGTCACCTCAAGATTGGAGGGGGGATTGAGGCTAAACAACCTTGACTTAGGGAGATGCACCAAAGAAATGTTGGGCGGATGCTTGTTACGGTGGAGGGGTTACGGACAAGACTGATATCGGATCATCTGGTCAGTGTATAAAGCAATTGAAGTTTTGAAATGACATCCTGTTAATAAGAGAGAAAAATAATGACATGAAAATCCAGGCCTTCCAAACTTGTGGGATTTCGATGTTTTCGTCTTGTTAACAGGTTAATGCAGTTTACAAGTTCCGGTATGCATCAACGATGGTTCGAATAATATCACGTCGATGTCGAGCTGGCAAAAAGTAAGAAACACTTAGAAATTCAACTTATTCTCACCTCTCTTCGTAGCTGGGTTTGGTTGACTGTATCTGTTGAGATGCCAGTCAGATTGTTCGGCTGATGTGTATCTGTCTGTTACTATTTGCTCTACACTGTATCTTGTTGCTGAAAATCAGGTGATCAGTGACGCCTGTAATGTATTCATTTTTTTGTTCATTTGACCTGCAACTTATATTTGTGATGATTATGCTTCGTCCTATATATACAGTGACTGAGTGTAATCACATACCTTAACTTATTTTATTGTCTGCGGAACTTTTGTGACAGGTACCTGCCGCTAGAAAGTTCCTCTGACAATCCCGAGTCAAATCCCGAAGTGAATGCTGCACTCAAGACTAGTAAAGAAGCTGAACTCAAAAAATTGAACTCGGTGGCAACAATGAAAACAAGTGTAAGTTGCAAAACAAAGCAGGGACCAGATAGAAAAGGTGCCGTAAATTTGAATAAAAATGTATTACTTTTCATGCACGTTATGCGCTAATTGTATGCATTATTCAGTTGTGACGTGTCATTTTCTGGCCTTCAGATTGGCTGGGATCTCCAGATGAATCTTACAACGCAGCCGCAGTACCGCACCGCCGAACAATTGAAACACGTAAGTTTAACTTGCATTCATAATGTTATAATTATATCTTTTCAAATACGTTATAGTTGAATGTTAGTTTTGTATTCGCCTTTTAAGAAAATGTTGTTGTTGATCATCTGCAGATTCTGTACATGATTCATGCCCATAAAGCCTTTACCATCTTCTCGAGTGATTGTGAGACTGAGTTGGCACGATGTCTGTCCTATGAACGATACGATGACGGTAGAATCATTGCTTGCCAAGGCAGACCACCGGATCGGTTTTATTATGTTGTATCAGGCAAAGGTAATATTAACATTTCAAAAATCGAATTTATGTCAATTTAAACAACCATCTCGTATATGAAAGGTCCGAACAGAAAGATTCAATGCTTTTCATCGTTGGGTTATTCAAACACTCGCCACTTAATTGAGTTTTTATTGTTCAAGTTTACTTTTTTTATTGGATTTATTTTACAGGTGCTCATTTTTTCCGAAAATTGACGTCGAAGAAAAAATAAATAACCTTGGTCTGATAAACTTGCAACACGGGCAAATCCAGAATATCTTTTCCATTTTTTCGCCAGTAAACCTCGTTCGAGAGTATGAATTACAGACGGGAACCATGACGAAGTCCCTGGGTTTCCTCAAGAAGGGAAGCTTCAGTGATGTAAGTATAAACGCATGAATTTCTGATGTGACCAATAGAGGGAGCATTCGTAACCAAGCAGTGCTCCTCCCATGGGCGGTGGTGTCATTGGTTTCCAATTGTCGATTCACTCAGCCTCTCTGTTTTCACCGATGAGGGCGTACTTGTGCATGAAGAGGATAAGCCAGCGACCACCTGAATAATAAGCTCGTCCCCGTTATTTAAAAAGTAGTGTCATGACACGATGAGTCTCTGGCAAAGTTTGGAACCATTTCACCCGAGGTCTACATTTTGTATCTTCAAGCAAACACATAGTCCTTGTGCCTTTGCAGCTGAACCTTCTGTTTCATGTGCATTGTACTTTCTTGTAGAGAGAAGAACTTGAGAAGCAATGGAATCGACAATCCAGTCTGATTTGCCAGGGACCGGTCGAAGTTCTACTGTTGAATAAAGAGGTATAGACGAAAAAGGAGGTGTAACCTGCTGCATGTATGACCTCATGGAATGCTGCGAGTCTTTAATTATCATATTGAACATTTCATTCGGTAATTAATAAACTTGATGATTTTTTTTTACATAGTTAACCTGTCATTGTGTCTTTCTTTTTCAGGATTTTTTTAACCTCCAAAACACTCACGCCGGCCCACCGATTGAATTTCTCAGGTAAGAAAGACAGTGACTGACAAAAATAAACTGGAAGATTAACATACGAAATACATGAAAATAAATGAAACATTTTTCACAGAAATCTGTTTCTCACGAAATGAAATTTTCTAGTCCCTACTATCTGAGACACAATGTCTTTCAATCAGTGTGCAGAAAGCTGGATATGTTTATTTTATTTCAACAGATCACAGTATTTATTCTCGGAATTCCCTTGCCATCTTTTCAGCCAGCATCATGAGGCAATTGAATGCAAGTTCTATAGGTAAGATATCGACCTTAATTACATCGACATAAGATATACACAAAGGTCACTGTAAACTTCACCCAAAAAAGGTTGTCAAAATTGAATTGAAAGGATACGTGTCTTCTAATAGTGTGGTTATTTTTATTTGTTGCAGCCCGGAACGACTTGTAGCTAGAGACTCTAACAGCACAAGGTGGATATTTGTCATTAAATCGGTGAGAATAATGTTGGCATATTGTAATGTCATTTTAGGGCCGTTAAAAAATTAAAGATCATTTTCTTGGGGATTTTTATACGGTAGCCTTTGTATTGATGCTTTCAAAGCACAGTGCTTAAAATTGTGATTTTTTTTTGTGTGTGAAGGGAACGTGCAAATGTATACGACGACAGTTTGTTGCTGATGTAAAAAGCGACAAAAAGTTCAGCAAGAAGAAAGGCTTGGACAAGCTTGGATGCGTGAAACAGCCGTCGCATGCGGATGGTAAGCCTGAACTACGCACCAAAAATCCAACATATCAAAGTCAAATTTGCATGTCATACTTGTGGGAACATCTATAAAAACAAAACTGACATTATTACCTTAATGAGGTTGGAACTTGGACCAGAATAGAATGATTATTGCTATCATTTGTCACGCATTCCGAACTTTATGAACGAACTTCATTAATTGTCATTAAAATGGCATACGAGTTGAAACATGTTATTAATGAATTGATTCCAAGCTATGATTGGAGCTGGACTGAAGAAACTTGTTGAAGAAGGACAACACAACTTCGATCATGACTTGGAGGTAAGCTTTATTATCCGATTAGATGTCAGCATTGTTGAGCAGGTACTGTCATGTTGAACTTACCGCTTGTGTCACAACTATTTATTGAATCATTTTTTTTGTTTCAGATGAGTAAGATCCAATTAGTGGAGGAGGCTAACATGGTTGGTAGCCCGTACGTTGGTACCCTGGGCATCAGCACCAAGGACACGCCACCTGTATGATTTTAAACTTCATTTTATTTAATGTGTAATTCAGTCCCTCGGATTCACGGCTATTACAATGATTCAATTTTTTTCCGACTCAAGAAATTGACAGTGATATCTATTCATGGTAACCATTAATCCTAGTCTTAAGTTGCGATAATGATTGTAATTGATTTTGTTTTACGCAGACGCGAGGGTTACGCAGTCGTTTGACGTCACATTTGCGTCTAAGATCTTCCCAAGCCACTCCACCAGAGATTGGTGCCTCTGCCGCCGACAGTAAGTTGGACTAATGCTGATTAAGGAAGATTCCTTTATCTTATCAAATAAATCTCTTTCATAAATATTTGAGAGATATGGAAGCCATTGCCTTTTAAAAACCTGTGCTGTACACAATAGTATTTCAAACTCCTCCCTTTGGTGAAGTTTACCATTTCCCCGTTCATATCTTTATATCCGTTAAGATTAATATTCCTAATTTGTTTAAAAAGGAGGTCGTTTTCCTTTCTGTTCTTCCAGAGTTTCCTCGGACTCCAGGAGACATGGGATTTAATTTCCAAGACTCACTCTTGGTGAAGGTAAACCGAAGGGCTACCATTGAATTGAAATGCCTTTACTTGGTAGCATCAAAACACGAAATCAATTTCAACTGATATTTGGTTTCCAAATCTGACTAAAAAAGTCTTTAAGTTTTCATGTAATACCACCATGAATGAAACATGAATCTGAATTAGATACTTCAAATCTGACAAACCGAATTATCCATTGTACATGACATGCCTCCCTACCACCTCCTCGATGCCATCTAAATCACATATAGAATGGAATCTTTTTCCTTTTTCTCACACTCTTTGAAGGACTATGCAGCCCGACGGCGCTTCCAAAGCCCCCATCGCTCCATTCATTCCTTTCACGGTAGTCCCGCCCTTCTACCCCCATTATCCTCTGTTATGGATCCGCCCATAGACAACTCCAGCGGCTGTTTCCTGAGTCCTTTTGATCGACCGAAGCGAAAATTCACTCATCAACCTGTTGCGATTCATGCAACCACTCCCTCTGCCCAAAGAAGAGCGTATATCCAACTTGATGGCCTTGTGTCTGGAGATATATTTGTAAGTAAAATGTTATGAAAGACTCATAAAGAGATGTAATTCTTGGTAATTTAGTTGGTTACATTAAAAAATACGTCTGCGGCCGTGTTTTCAAAAACTTAACCGATTTTCTTCAAGAGCGCCATCTGTCGATGCCATAGGCAGGACTGTTATGCAGAAGTTGTGCAATGCTAGCCCCAATTCGATATCTTGGTTTGTATCACTATTTGCATTGCAGGGATTGAATGATGTGGCATTTACAGCAAGCAGTGAGCCCTCTGGAGTCAGTGTGGTAAGAGTCACATTATTTTGGGTGGCACTGCTTTAGTCACATTTATTGCAAAAATCAAGTAACTTGAATCGCTGGTATTTTCTCACTTGACCGGTTACCTTTGTGTCACACCTTTTTCGGTTTTTCTTTTTCAGGTCAGCGAAGGAGCGGAAATTATTAAGATTAACAAAAGATTCTTTCGAACTCATGCCGGTGTTGTAACACTGCTCAAACTCGACACATTGGTAGGTGACAGAATGGAAAGAGTCATTCAATAAAACATAGACAACAGCCAAGACAGATGCAGATCAAGAAAAATGACCATGGTAGTGAGATTAAGATAACGGAGAGAGGTACAAACCAAGGGATAGTCCCGTATTTAGGATTACAAAAAGGCCCTGGTTAGATCAAAACTATTGGATCGGTTGAAGATATATAGCAGCGCTCGCTGGTGCTTGTGTATGGAATCCCTTCATAGTTTGAGGGTTGTTTCGACCATTGAACGCCATGGAGTTATAAGGAAAATAAAGGGAGACTGTTTTTATCCAATTTGCAGGTCCGTGAGTTTATGTCGGAGGAAGATGCAAGCGAGAATTTAGAGCGGCAAGAAACATGGTTGAGATACAAGTCTACGTTAATGGAACGCTTGGCACAACATAAATACCAGACAAACACAAAATGGAAACGAAACCTGAAACCACTCAGTTTCTCCATATGATTATCAAGACCTCCTCAAATTTAGCTATAAACATACCCCATAATACTTACTTTATTATTGCATGAGAGCTAAAATCACTTTACACAACAGTTTAAAGAAAATTCATAATTGCCAAAGTGATTTGTTGAGTTTATACTCACCGGTTCTTTTAAGAGCCACACCTCGTCCAAAAGAGATTGATTCCATGGTGTACCCGCAAACCCATTTCTCATGTTTCATCCACCATGCAAAGCTTCAAATCTTACTTAAAGTGATTTGTAAATTGGATAAGTTTTGATAATACAACATTTACCTTGGTTAGTGTCTTGATTAAGCTGAAACCCAACCGTTATAAAAGAGATTGCTTTTTTGAATTTTAAAGTCAAATGCTGGAAACCATTCTGGATATCTGGATCCTCTTTCGAGGCATCAAAACTCGGCTACATGAAACGTCACTCTTGATTGGTCGATCTTTATTTGTTAATTTGTATGACTGTGCCTCTGTGAATTAGTTGAAGAAACACATATTTGTAGACGCATGAAAAACTGGACTCACAAATTGAAATGAAATCAAAATGACGATTTTATAATAAGAAATTTTTCACAAAGTAATTATTAAGGTTTTTATTTAGCCGATTTGTTGCTATATGTCAGGACTTTGAGTTTCAAAACCAAGAGTTGCAGTGGTGTTGTTATGGAAACGGAATGCATCATAATTATTTGATCGCATCGGTCGTTGTTTAAGTTATTGTTCAGTTTACGTATAAGCTTATTGAAACTTTCACGAGAAAACAACCACTGATTGTTGAAAAGTGGTTGTTTTGAGTTAATTCTTATAAGGAGACGATTTGGACAATCATTCTTTCAAATCATCTGAGACTGACCAACTAATTCAAATAAAATAGCGATCGTTACTGAGTTTTTATGGAATAATAACTTAGTGGGAGTCAATTGCATATGATTGTGTTCAAACACGCATACCTGTTGATTTGGAGATCAAGTCCATGGTAAGACTGCATTGTAACCGAGGCATAGTCCAGGCCACTAAGCCTATTACAACACAACTTACAAGCACCACTTGAAGTTCAGCCTTTTAAAAAAACTACCTAACTAGCACCAAGGCAACCAGTGATAAATGATGTTTGTAGTTGTAGTTGATTTCAATGTCCGGGAGATTTACCCAGTAAACAAGTCGCCTTATCGCCTGGTTTTGTACTGACGACCTGTGTTGATTTGTATAGAAGTGTTAACTACATACATATCGGCATGGAAACACGATTCGGTGGTCAGTAAGTATTCCACTGCGTCAATGGAATGATTTCCAATGTGGTGTAGACGTGTACGTTTGACGGTAAATGGTGATGTTAGCAGTTGTTATGGAGAAAACTGACATGAGTTAAGTGTAATTCCTATAGGTTCTACTTTGACAATGACTGGAGGGCGAGTTTGTAACAGCCAGCAGTATGACACGTTTCAACTGGTAGTAAGAAATAAGAACTTGCTCTGTTTGAAAGCCTTCAATGAAAATGAAATGTTGCCAGTCGCGTCTGTCTCGTTTCGTTTTGTTTGACAGTCACGTAGATTATTTTCGGTTCATCTGTACAGAAGTTGCTCTTCTTGGCTTTCTTGGGACGCCTGCTGATTATATTCCTAACTTCAAGAAACACAGAAACCCGCTTGGTTCATTTCCTGGGACGCCATGTCAAAAGAAACAAATAAGAAGAGAGCGCCTTCGGCGCGTGACAGGCGACCAAGTTATGCCAGACCTACCAGGGCTTCACTCACACGAATGACAGGTGCCGATGTGTGTCCTCGTAAAACATGCGGCTGCTCAGAGACCCGGAGTCTTACATCCAAGCCAATGCCTCCTAAAGCTCGACCGGTTACAAGCGCTACTATGCTAGGGAGATACCCACACGATCGAGCCGGCCGTACCGCGAGAGGACGCGGCTATAGACCGGGCCAGATAGGGATGCAGGCCGGTAAGGTACCGTCGCAACTCCTGCAAAAGAGAATCAGGCAACTCGCTCGTGACATCAAGGATAAGCACATCAATCAAATTAATGAAGGGACTGAGGCATCAGCAGATTCTTCGCCTGAAGAGAAATCTGAGCAACAAGTGACAGTGGCTATTACCAATCCAGAACGTCAGACGTCCCAAAGCCATCAGTTGGAACCACCTACTTCATATGTCAACTTAGCTGGAAAGTTCAGAGCAAGAAAAGAGCAGAGGATCAGAACCACTTCTGAAAATTCTCAAACCGTTTGGGAAAATGATGAATCGGAAGACCGATCCAACAAAGATAAAGTGTCTAAGACTGAAACTGAGTCACGACCGATCGACGAAGGAGACAGCGCGGGACTTTCAGACAATGAGACTGCTATCACAAACAAGCCATCACCCCCTACCTCCCCACCTCCAACTCCACAACACAAAACTCGTAGAGTAGCTGTCTTGGAACCTCTAACGATTGAATCCACTGCAAGTGAATCCGACAGACCGATTGAGGAGAGTGGGTCTAAGAGACCTGATCCTGTCGTCCCTTTGATTATTCCACCGAAACAAGAACCCCAACCATCACTGCCAAGACAAAGACCCGACTCCTCTGAACGAAATAAAGAAAGGACCGAGCCAGATTCGTCATCAGGTTCAACCACAGACAAAGAAGGAATAGTGCCCTTAATTGTAGAATATCCATCAGACCTACCCGCACGATACCGCTCGCAAATCCCTTTAATTAACGAATCTCCACCGCCTTCAAACACAGGCTCGGACCCTCTAGGAGATCATCGAACTCGCAAATTATCTGAAAGCCACTCCGAAAATTATGACCTGCCACGAACTCGTTGGAAATCCAGGAGGCCATCGTTATCGCCTACAGGCGCGCCTTTACTTGGATGGTCGCCTGCTGCAGATGCAGGGCGCGGTCGAAGTAACAGTGTCATTAATATCTCCAGCGCCTACATGGCTCGTAGGAACTCGGTGTTTGGTGTTGGCCTGAATGTAGGACAAAGGAAAGATTCACTGGGAACCATGAGCCTGTCCAGTGCATCCCTGCAGCCTCGAAGAGCAAGCGTTGCTGACATCTTCAAACGAAGTAGATTGTCCAGAAGTAGGAGGCTCTCCACATATTTACAGGTGAATAATTCACAGCTTGATCACAATGGATTTTAGTTTTTTGGGAAAAAAACACGAAGACTACTTTATCGTTCCACAAACTGAATGCATTTCTCCCTTTATAAACGTTCTTTACGAATTCAAAAGAATTGATGGAGTGATATTCCCAAAGTTGCACTTGGAAAGATCGTTTATGGTTTCTTTTTTAAAGAAATGGAAAAGAGTTGACAGATTTGAAATAGCTTTTGTTTTCATTTTCTTCCACAGAACACTGACGCCGGTAAAGAACGGGTGAGTTAGATTTTAAAAATCATTACAAATGTAAACAGTAAGATGAAGCTTTGCCCTGAATCAAAAACAAACATGATGAATATGTATTTGCTGAATATGAATATTTGATTAACAAAAAGTTACAGTATTTAGTGAGGACATAAAAGGCCACAACAGACGGGTGCACATACAGACACTCTGGAACTGCTAAGATGATTGAAACAGCTTCACTACAATTGCTCCTTCTATAATCGTTGGTGGGCACGTCCGAGTCAACGCCTACTTTTTGCCGTGCGCTTTGCTCAAGAAGGCTTGACATTTTCCTTTCAATTCCAGATTTCCGTTGCAAGATATCATCCTGGGTTACCAAAAAAATGACAATATTAAAACATGTCAAACTTTCTGCATCAATACTTTTACCTTGCAAGGCCCTCAAAGAAACCTTAAAACAAACTTAGCTGATTGCTTTGCTGTAATGTCAATAATGGAGACAAAGTAGTCACGGCATACGCTACATAGACCTTTAACATCACATGCAGTTGGATGTCGACGTCATAACAACGTGAAGACGTATCGTCTAAGAGATCGACCCACTTCGCTTGTGCTGTGCACCACCAAGGCAGCGCTTTTCAAAATGTGCGTAATGACTGCATCGATGGAAGTTAGGACGTGAAACTTAGAAATTGCTAGACTTGATGTAAACGGCACGTGGGATTTCATGTCTGTGGTCCCTCCCTGTGATGCTTTGTGAAGGGCAGTTCTGAGCTGAATTTCAATACATCGGGACTCGCTGCGTACATGATACAGTCTTCTTCAAACAAATCGACAATGTCTTCCATTACTTCCCTGACGCCATCATTACGTCACAGTCAACCAACCAAACCAACGAGGCGAATATTAACTCGGCGAGCAACAAGATTGTCCCAATTTCAAACAGAATATCTGCACTGGAAAAATTCTGTTCGACTGGAGAAGGTAAAAAGGCTACAGATATGCACTCCACTTTTTTGGACATTCTTGAGTGATGTTTTGGTGGAAAATAAGTTCACTGGTAAGTTTATGCAGGACACTGGACTCGCATACTGCAAGATGTGCCTCGAGCCCGAGACTATGAGTTTTTTTGCTCAGAGGACATGGTTGTTGATTGAAGGCGAGGGTAATTTTGATTGAACCCTATACAGTCTCTCCGATAGGCTGACTTCCTCGTACCCACATCTCTCATTTTCGAATCGCGATGTTCGCCCATTTCAAAGGATAAAATCAGCCGACTATGACATAACTCGTCGTACTTTCTACATTGTAAAAAAAAATGAATCAGAGGCGAAAACCGATGTCAGAATTTTAAGAAACCTTCTCTATTGGAGACAAATCCAAAAACGTTGATGTTTTCAGGATCCCTTTTCAAACTTGATCGATTTTCTGAAGACTGTATTCAACTGAGCTGCAATTTTTGGTAAATATTAACTTACAGTTTAAGATTGAAATCACATTGTAAACCTCTGTCGTCATCAATGCTGCAGTAACAAGAAACAGAAACCTGTTGATCAAAAACATCCAAGGTAAAATTGTGATTAAGCCTACATTTCTGCCCGTTGTCTGGTGCGAACAAGTTAGCCATTAAAGCCCTAGGGTTAAAACAAGCCCTATTCATTGTCGATGGAAACCAAACTCTTAGCAGCAACTTTGAAGACGTCTCTCAGTTCATCGAGTATCTTCGCAGCTGTTTGCTTTCCTCTGGAAATTATACACGTGAAAGTTTTGAAGTGGCTGGTAATGGTGCCTTGTTTATCCAAACTACTTGTCTTCCACTGTGGAGTTTGCACACGAGACTTAATCCCTACAGACTCATGTCCTTCAGAGATCTCTCGGACTATTGACGCCCGCTAAGAAAAGAGATACACGTACTTCTAACTTCAGGAGTATTTGCACAGGCCATGGACAGGTTGAGTGGAATTGTTGTGGTCCAAACAGTGTGTAAATGAAGCCTCTGTTCGTGTTTGTGTGAGTTTGGAAGAGCCCCCTCAAACTGCATTTTCACTTACAATTTGGCAATTATTTCATTCCTAGGCACTTGAAAGATTGAAGAGGATCTCAAAAACAGTCAAGATTATCGCAGGAATATGTCTTGCATTAAAAAGGTATTGTTAACTTCCATCTGGTATTTAAACAAACATCAATCATGGAATTTAGAGAATTTCAAGATATATTAAAATTCGATTAATTTTTATTTCATTCCATGTGCTAATTGGTGAACATTAAGTTTGGCTGTTCATTTGCCAGCGATTTTATTTGTTTCGTTTGGATAAAAAAACCAAAAAAACCACACGTAATTAAGGCTGTTCTAGCCCAGTTCTTCTGTCAAACACAAATACATAAATTTAAGTTGACTCAACTGGATATCGATCACGGAGAGATAATTATTTTTGAGTTGAATCTTTTTAATTGTTGATCAGTTACGTCAAGACAGCTGAGACAAAGCAGTGGTCTCTGATTGAGATGCATCTCAACCTCCGAGCTGATATGGAGAAAACCCTCGCCTTTGACCCTATCATGTTCTCCAAACTACGAGTGGTGAGTCTATACGACAACCGTACCACTTGGCTGTCACCCTGTGTGCCTGCACGCTTTACTACTGATTTACGGAAATGCGTTTTCTACATATGATACATTTTGTCAATTTTTTCCCACAGTTTTTTTTTTGGGGGGGGGTTTGTTACCACACTGTTGATATCCATCCATTGATGTTGCAATAAATTTGTCACCCGAACTGTCCAAAATAATCGAATAGTGGGAATCAATTTTGATTTTGTTCATTGAATTTCAATGTTGGCGGTTATTCTCTTTCACTTCTCAATGCGTTTATAGAGATTACAACTGACCTCTAAATATAAACCTGGTCTATCCTTTTTCTGATTTATCACTTCTGATGCCGAAAACCTATAACTTTGGATATTGCCAGTTATTTCATGTGTTACAATTCTGTTTCTAGACACGTGGATCAGAGAAACTTCGAAGCATATTGTCATCAAAGTCAAGCGAGAGAACCACAGAGGACATCGATGTAGTAAGTTGTCACAGATGTTTTGGATTACTTGTATCATTGATCAAGAAGAGATACATAAATTTACTTCTTCTCTTAATGCCAGTTGTTTCCTTAATTGCGGCGTACATTTTGCAAGATTTCTCTCAAGGAAATTACAATGATTTGAAATTTTGTTAAGCGTGATATTTAAAAGAGCTGCAGTACTAATCAAGTGTTATGCGAGGATGTTCAATTATCTGGATGTTCCTTCGTGCAGGTGCTAGCTCTTCTACGCAAGAATAAAACCTTCGCTGATTATGACCAGGAAACACAGATTGCATTGGCTAAAGTCATGGAGTACCTCAGGTATGTCAGCAGCTAGACGAAGAACTGACATCTCTGAAAAACCTGGTATCCGTATCAATAAAGGAACTCCAAACCTCAGTCTTGAATTTTAACATTGATTGAAAGCGAGCGTAATCATGAATTATTGGTGTGTGTGCATGAACATGGTTTTATGATATGAAAATTCCAAAACGAAAATCTTCATAGAAGGCATTTGTCAGGACTTGTCATTAGACAAGAGGGTTCAGTGTTCATTCTTAGACCCTTTTCTTTAAAACTCTTTTTTCAATATGACGAAAGGAATTTTTCTTCTGTCTGTGGACAGTTCTTCTAAGGAATGCTTTGTCTTGGTGCATTCAGGTATGAGCCTCGTCGCATTATCTTAAAGGAAGGACACCAAGCTTCAGGATTCTATATCATCTTATCAGGAACTTGTCTCGTCAATCAGAAAGAGATTGATCCGAGGAATAATGAACCATTTGTGAGGACAATAGATGAATTACACACTGGGGATTCATTCGGGGTATGTGTCCAGATTGATAGAATGAAAGCGGCTAGTGCTCTTCAATATGCCTACAAATTGGAATTGCTATTTGACTAATCTTTAAATTTTGCTGAAAGTTACGTTTTCTACACGTATTTTTTTTTCATTCTGTGAACAAATAATGCTTATTCACTTGCCAACTTTTGCATCAGAACGAAATAGTTTTGGTTGACTGTTGATCTGTAAATTCTGAATCTGTTGTTGACAGGATAATGAATTATTGAATGATTGTGTACGAGAGGTCAGCGTGATTTGCAAGGAAGAATGCGAAGTGCTACTGGTCAACAAAGAAGTAAGTTGGGCATTTCAATAAACAGACAAATGATTTCCTGACTGTTTGTTTATTTATTTTAACCATCGCGTCTTGGTTAACTCTTGGTTTGCACAAATACTTGCAAAGAAGGTGTGGAATCAAGTAAAAATTAAATTAACTTGTAGGTATTACTTTTCAAAAGTCAATTCAATAAGAAAACTTTCGGAAAGTCTTGTAATTTATGTATAGTTCCAACGTCACACATTTTCGTCAGGATTTCAGCGTGATTATAAGAGAACCACTCGAGAAGGAAAGAGACAGACTTCTTAACTACTGCAGTAGGCAGAGTGTTTTCGAGAAGCCACCGACTCACTTTGACTTCCGAGGAAACAACTACGCCATCTCGGCTAAAAAGTACAAGTAAGTCAGAAATCGCTCTGCCATGCCTTGAAGCTAAACAAAGTTGAAAGTTAAGTTGATTGCGTAATTAATCGGAATCTTTCTCTTCTTGTAGACCTGGAGTCGTTATAACCAGCGACATCAGCAAAAGTGATTTCATTTATGTGGTTCAGTCGGTAAGTAGTGGATTGTTTATTCTATTTCACTAAATTAACAAAAAAAAATGAAAACGAAAACTATCGACAGGTTTTAGCATGTCATCAAATTTCTCACATTGTCTGTAAAATACGCATGCACACTCACAAATACAAACATCTCGAAAATGTATCACGAGTTTTCTTTCTCTTCAACTTATTGTCGATTTTTAACCAAGGACGTTTTCTTATTCTTCAGGGAAAATGCAGAGTGATATCAGAGGTGAAAGAAATTAAGGGGAGACCTCTAAAAGCCAAGAATGTATCAGTGAAACCACTCAGCGATGAGGAATGGAAGAAAGATGCAACACTCAAACGAACTTGTAAGTTGGTTTGCTTGGGAATGTTGGAGACAAGATTATTCATTTATTTTCTCTGTGACTGTGTGTTTGTTTGACGTAAATTTATTTCTTTTATGACAATGTATATTTGGTCTTAAACTTTTGTTTTCAACACTGTATTGATTGACTTAGTGACTGTTTTTGAGACCATGGGCAACAGACGACGGTGTTTATCCGAGCCAAAACTTTCTCAACTCGAGCGACAAAACACGTTCTTCTCCTTGAGTGGAATTAAAGTAAGTCACATGACTGATTACTGCAATGCAAACCCATTCCTGCATCAAGTGTTAAACATTTTACATTATTACATTTTATATTTTGCCTATTAATATTGATCACACATATTTTTTTAATAAAACTTGATAGGAATCAACAGCAATGGTGCGCGGCAGTCCTCCGTACTTGCATCGCACAGCCAAACGTGTCACATTTCCAGAAATAGAGAAGAGAGATCGCTGGCATAGGGTTATTGTATACATTATTCATGGTATCATTTATCCTGAGAACCTGCTTAATATAATTCATCATCCATCTTGTTGTCCTTAATCCTTATTGGTTTCTGAATTTTCCATTAATTGGTATCAATACAATCGAAATGTTGCTGTTTCCTGAATCTCTAACCTTAACTTAATCATGTCACTTCATGTTTCAGCTGCACATCTTGTGCGGTCATCGTTATTCTGTCTTCACATATTTCTGGAGATAAAATTTCGGGTGTAGTTCTGTTTTTGTTAATTCTGTTTACATTAAAATGACAAGAACTTTGCAATGCTGTGTGCTAATCTAACCTGAGACTATACGCATGCGTCTGTGGTGAATACTTTCGGCAGAATGTGCAACTAGCCGAAGTGAACTTAATAATCCTAATTTGGATTATTCTGTTACTATGAAACTCTCTATGCAGAAATCAATGGACTTTGTGGATAGGGATGACGAAACAGAAGTCCCGCTGGCATTGCCGAAAAGTTTGTTTGCCGAGAAAGACCATCTCCAGACCAAACCAAATGTAGAAGGTAAGAAAGATTGAGATGTTGTCGGTAATGCCTTCTGGTTATGCTTCTAATTCTTGCGTCAGTTGCACTTGAGGAAGAATAGCTAGAAATCAATCAGCATTTTATTTCAACATTTTGTTTGAATTCACAGAACCAGCCGATAAATCAGGACTTCTAACAACCTGGCGACGGGTGAGCATCGCTGCTAGAGCGGCCAATGAAAAACATGTGAGTAGGACCCCTTCAAACTCCCACAAAGTGTGGAGAAACATTACTAAACGCAGTATTAAATTTCTAAAAACAAATACGTGTAACTTCACTTCTCACATTCTTTAATTATCTGAATTCATACAGAAACGAAGAAATCCTCTTCTTTACTTGAATCCAAACCGTCTGAAATCAACTTATGCTGAGGTAGCAGTGCTAAAGGAAGGGGATGTCTTTGTAAGTCACAGTCCAACTGAATTCATTATAATTTTAGTCGATTTTGGAAGTAAAATGTCTACGAGTAATTTCGTTTAAAATATACTGCATGAAGACTGCCGTAGTTCACGAGGGTGTATTTGTTCGTTGCTATAGGGCGTTGAGACGTTAGTAACCAGTTACCAATCAGATACGCGCCTGAGTCTAGTGAGTGAGGGCGCTGACTGCATTGTTGTCTCCAAGAAGTTCTTCGCTACTCATGCCACTGTCAGAACCATCCAACAATCCACCAAAAAGGTGGGTATTGCCCTGATGATTGAACGCTGAACACAATTCACGGGCATTGTGTTTGTCATTGGAAACACCTCTACACTTGAAAAAGAATCAAAGGAAGAGTTAATTTACATTTTAAGATGCTGAAACAGACATATTTGATTGACATGCTCAATAAAAAGGAATCATTTTTCCAACTGGTGTGCAGTGAAATAATCGGCTAAGTGCAATCATGTCCGTTTTCCTTGTTACCAGGCGATCGAATATCCTTCAGCTGAATACACCCTGGACAAAATCCGTCAAGCGAGGGCGTGGTCGTCGTATAAAGAGTCGTTGGTTAAAGATGTTTGTAACCGCAAGACGTCTAAAGCGGGCGAATTAAGCAGATGACGACAGATTCTGAATAAAGTTTTATTCAGATTTACCTGTTGAATGTCCCGTCATTTCAGTTTAACAACCAATTGGGCACTTTGTTCAGAGACGTTAATTAAGTTTCAACAGTATTTGAATGCCACTTCGTCAGAATTTTCGGCCTGTTTTTGTTTTGCATTTTCTGTTATCCGTTTTGTTGCCTGGCCCAGAAAGAATGCATTAGGCCTACAGGGAAAAGCCGAGCATTTATTTTTCGTGCAATTTTGGCTGAAGCTATTCTGATTGTTGGTTTATACTCTCCTCCAGAGTGTGCAATCTAGTTTCCGTAAACGATATGTCGATAGATTTTCATGTGTTAGATATCTCTTGTGCTGATAGTGATGGTGATAATTAGGGGCAGGCCGACTGACCAATGTTCCTCTTTTTTTCAATACGACCTAAGTTTTGCCAGCAATATTGCAGACACTCGCTCTTCACTCAAACATAAAGTCATACAAATTTCGTGCATTTCTAGCGAGATCAAAATAATTTCATTGATGGTTTTGGTACTCAACGCGTTTAAATCGATGTGCATGAAGTACCCCCAACATATTAAATTGTTACACATTTTGTTTGGGTCTTTAACCCTAACTTCCTAGGGTGTGTGCATATTAAAATTGGAGGATTCAGGACAGTTAGGATTAAATATTCCATATCAGTTAGCTTTTGATTTAAAGAGAAAGAGATGTAAAAATGATTAAAATTCAACCAAATTGGAGGAAATGGTACATGTATATTGTCCCGTTTTATTCATAACTAGTTTTCCTTTCAACATAACTGTCAATACCTGAATGGTACCTGGATGCTCTGAAATCTTCCAGAACAACTACCTGATAGAACATATATAATTATAATTCACACAACTAAAATGTATATTTATTCATGTTCAGTGACTTGTGCTCTTCACCATTCTAAATACATGAATAAAACCTATAATTTAAGTCTATTATCGTTAGAAAGCATAGCTATCAACAGATAAGTTCCTTTACCCGATGAAGCAACTTGCAGCTCTACTGATTGTTATAGCTTTTCATCACGTTTTCGTTTACATTTACCGGTTATTTATTGCCACAAAATCAAAATTTGTTTTGTTTTTAATTGATTTCAGTTCTGGCAAACCTAAAATTCACGATTTGTCCTTCTTGCTTTAAATAAAAAGTACTGATGACTGCTCAAACATTTCTGCTGGTCATATTGAAAGCGACATCCGGCCTGTCGATAATTCTGAATAATTGTTGGAGGCAGTTAACGGCTGTTAAATGCCATTCCAACTGCATGCACAGTACACATCGCGCCCCCCATAGTGGGTTTATCCCTTTATATTTGCTCTCTTTTGCGTACCAATGTGCCCTTTGTCGTCCTCCATAAAAGGGTCTAGGGTAAATCACTCCAACTCCAAAGAAATTCGTACAATAGTTCTATGCAGGATCACGGTTGAATGCATTCGTCTGAAGCACCTGTGCGCCATAGAGCCAAGTATACACGAACGGCCGTTCTCCAGTGTAGTTTGGCTCGTGTGGTACTGATATAGAAACGACACGCAAATGCGAGACGAGACAGGATTTCAACAAAATAAACAAGTGTCCTCATAGCATTTGACTTGAAGGTAAGCACATTGCAAATCTGGGTATTTATAGGAAGTATTTGTGTAAATTGTGAGAATTTTGTCTCCATCAAGCAAGGTACTGACGCACTTTTTTACGGTGCGCTCAAACTGTTTTGCGAAATTGTTGACGGATTTTCCAAAACGTTTTTCCTTCAAAAAAGTCTTCTCTAAATTAATGGTCTGTGAAAATTTTAAGTGGACGATCGAAACACGAGCGACGAATTCCGATCGACATAATTATTATGTACAGGGGAAAAAACTTCAGGACTTTTCTTAATTTCTCAGTCATGTGCCTTTAATTTCTAAAAAGAGGTGGGGTCAGTTATGTCAAGGACTAATTTCTTTGATGGGCTGTTAAGGCGAAATCTAATTGCTGTATACCACTCAGTGATTTTGATCACGAATAAATGTTCAGAATGATTTTGTTCCAGGATTACAAAAGTACTTCACCCATTCTATTGCTGATTTTTGTTTGTTTTGACCAAGTTACGTGTGTAATACTGTTGTCTACTACTGACTTTTAACTAAGCTATTGCTACATAGAATTTGGATGTGGTAGGTGACCCATTAAAAAGGTTTGGTGTCATGTACCAGGGCTTTCATGCTGGTATCAATGTCCAATTTCGCCTCTCCAGATTTTAAACGGAAATTCCACTTCAGACTAACCGCTGAGGTAATTGATGCACAAGCTTTTTGCTTTCTAAACAGGTCTTGCAACAGCTATCAAAACAGGAGAAGAATGGCAGCAAAGGACCAAAAAGATGACGTCGAAAACATCCGTAAGAAACTTTTCACGGTAAGTGTGGTGGCTTGCGTGGATTAACGCGAGGGCGCTTGTTTTTCGTGTATGTTTAAATCATTTATGGCATAAACTGGTGTTATGGTGTTAGTTGTGACAGGACTCCGGGACAAGGCCTTCTAGAAAGGATTACAAAAAGAAAAGACAGATTTAAAACGAGTGGGCGGAAAGTGAAGGCTATGTAACAATAAGTGCATTTACATATATAGTTGGTTCTGCTCCTGCCGCTTACTGACATTTTGTTGGTTGTTGATGACCCAGAGGGAGGAAACTTTAATCTACTCAGGGAAAGATTTTCTGACAGATCTTTGTGCAAATTAACCTTTATGATGAACTTCCCATAGATAGATATCAGGAAAGCATATCTTCTTTCATCTCTAGATCACAGGTCGTGCCGTCAAGATGACTAAATTTGTCAAGTTGAAGAGGACGTCTGTTTCAAAGCAACCACCTCCTCCCCAGAGTTCTGACCCAGTAGATGCAGCAGATGATGGAGATCAGAGGGGAGGTTGGGGGAACAAGTTTGACTTCATCCTATCCTCCGTTGGATATGCTGTAGGTCTTGGCAATGTCTGGCGTTTCCCCTACTTGTGTTACAAAAATGGCGGAGGTAATTTAAACTTGAAAAAATTAAACATAGACAATGTCTATTTCTTGCCATTGTTTGTCACACATTATTCCTGCATGATTACTTTAAAGTTAAACGAAACGACAGGATACTTAAAACATTACTGTGTGCAATTTCGACAATGATTCACAACTTCAAGTCCTTTTCTTAATGTACATATATGACTTTCATTTTAACACCTGCAGGTGCTTTTTTAATACCGTATACCCTCATGCTACTTGCTGCTGGCCTGCCAATGTTTGTAACTGAGCTGGGTTTTGGTCAGTTTGCTAGCAGAGGATGTGTGTCGGTCTGGACCATCTCACCTTTATTTAAAGGTGAGCCCCTACCAACTTTCACTTTCTGTGTCACATCACGTCGATGCTTCATGATTCTTGGCAAAACAGAGACCCATCAGTTAAGTATCTGTTAAAGTGACTTAAAAAGTGCTTTACAGGTGAGGCCATTTTTGTTTGGGCTGTATTTTATTGATCATTCTTCCACATTTTCTTACTCCAAACCAGGCTGTGTTGGTCTGTTGAACTGAAAAAAATATATTCTGAAGTCTTCAATCATGTTGACCAGAATATGATAGATGTCCTTTTTCCTTTCAAAAGTTGCCGTTGTAGTTTAGTGTCAAACCACTGCCTTGGTGTATCCTTGCCAATTCTATAAAAAGCAATCTTTTTGTTCAATTCTGGCCTTCTGGTGATAAGGAAAAACATTTGAAAAAAAAATCTGTCACCAAGCTGGAGTGCAAATGTGTTGTGAATGGATTCACCGTTCAACCTGCAGCCGTCAGCAACGTGTGAATAGCATTTCTTTGGTACATCTGTGCCAATTCTCAAAGCGATTCTTAACTGCTCAATGCATTTTGCCTTTCGAGTGGTGAACAAGGAAACGAGTTTGAAAAAAATTCGAAGCTCACCACTAAGCCACCAAATGTATTGTTGGTGAATGAATCACCCTCCGTCGCCGCGCCGGTTCAACTAACGTCAAGACGTTTCACATTTCGATGAACCTTAACTATATACCCTTTGGATCTGGTTGACGGGTTTCTGTGACATATACTAGGAGAGAAGTTGTGTACAGCTATAGATTTCTGCATTATTTTAGCAAGTCACTGAAAAAAGCAGTTACGTTCACTCTGATTTCACCGTGACCTTTCCCCCTTTTATTTTGTGGGTTAGAGTTGATACAGCTGGAGAAGCCAAGTTTTCACTAGTGCGTCTTCAAAATGTGTCTCTGCTATGTGATTTGTTTTGTTTGAGGATAGAATTTTGTATTTCGTTGCTTGTTTGTTGGTTTATTGGTTTTTTTTTAGTTTCAAAACTTGCACAGATTTTAAACAGTTGTTTTTGAATCATATTTTGTGGCAAAGTCTTTCCACTGTGAAAGGTCTCAGCCGTTGGCAATTTACGACACGGCTTGTCCAAGAGGGTCAAATGTCAACAAGTTTTAGGCGCACGCGCAAGAAGTTTCATCGCGAGTGTGCGCACGTACGTACGTCATATGCACACAGCATGCAAGTGCCTGTGTCATTTTCGCTAATTTCTTTGCCGACTGCTGACAGTTCTTAGGAATGCATATGCCTATTTGCCATTGAATTAGATTGGAGGTTGTGTTGGCATAGTCAAGGCGAGGTATGATTTTATAACGACTCTTTTAATACCGATGAGTGTGCACACGGTATACTATAAAAACTAGGCCCTAGCCTAGGCATGCTAAGGCAATGACCTGATGTCCAGTGTGACGACTATTAAACGTCAGTTTGAAACAAACGTTTCATTTCGGCAACAAGTACCTAAAGACTAGCGCTGATTTTGGACAGGTCAGACACTCTTGTGTGTTCTTGTTTCCTTTTTGTCTGTGATATAGGTTTGGGCTACTGCATGTGTGTCCTCTCTGGACTGGTTGCGATTTACTACAATGTCGTCATCACGTACACCATCTTCTACCTGTTCTCATCGTTCACCAGTGTTTTACCATGGAGTGATTGCAATCGACCATGGAACACACCCAATTGCACAGTCAGCAAAGCTAACGGGACAAATGTTACTGTATTTCTCAATACATCAACACGGCCCTCTCTGGAATATTGGGAGTAAGCAACAATTTGTAAAAACTGTTATAGTATCAGTGAATATTAATTAGAATATAATTTATGTTACTGGATAGATACAGATATGGATGAGGACCAATGGGTGTATTTAAAATCATATTGAAATTGGAGGATTGAGGACTGTTAGGGATAAGTCATTTAGGATGAAAGACACGAAAAAGGACATAACTTGTTTCCTATGGTCATCTTTTGACAATGTTATCTCATTGAGAAGTATTTCTAAGTCTTAAGAAATTTATGTATCATGCCTTGGCTACTGTACATTTTTGTTTCCACTAATTGTTCTTTAACATTACATTTCACAAAATTTTCAGGACAAAGATCATACAATAACCAAGATTTTTATGTTTTGGCTTTAGAAAAACTTGAAATAGTAGATTATAGGAAAATACACAATCCCAGGGTTCTAGCTGGTAAATTTGAAATAATATCCAAAGTTTCAGCTGAATGCAGTTTTTGAGCAACTCTACTTTTTATGCGGTACGTATTATATTCAACGCTTTGCAATGTGACCCATTTGGCATTAAAGGCTACCTGTACTGACAACCCTGCCGTTACCGTTGGTTGCACATAGGAATTCCTTTAAATTCACAGACTCTCTACAAAGATAGTTGCAACCATAAATCTTTCACTGTGTGGGTCAACTTCTTTCACTCTATCATGCAGTGTGATTGATTTGACAAGTACATGTACTCCATTGCCTCTTTTTGTTTTGATATTTTCTTTAGCCATCAGTGTCTCGGTCGCTCTGAAGGTCTAGAGCATATGGGACCTGTACGCTGGCAACTGGCTCTCTGTCTTCTTTTAGCCTGGACTGTTGTCTTTTTTTGCATCTGTCGGGGTGTTAAGTCCTCTGGCAAGGTATTGTCAGCCCAAAAAATGATCACTTATTAAATATATTTCATTTGCACTACAATGGGAATTATTCAAGTTAGAACAAACTGGAGGGTTCTCAGGTTTATAACTATCTGTAGGCCTAAGCCCCTTGTCAGTTTCTTTGTTCTGATTCAATTGTTGATAATGGCATTATTGTTAGTGACAATGATGACTGAATATATTTTGTTCATCAGGTGGTATACTTTACTGCTACCTTTCCTTATGTCGTTCTCGTCATCTTGCTGATCCGTGGAGCTACCCTACCAGGATCGCTACAAGGAGTTATTTACTACATTGAACCAAAGTTCGACAAGCTACTTAATGCTAGGGTATGTCTTAGGAATGCAAAGCCATCTTTTCAATCCATGGAAGATGATCGCATTGTTGGGTCAGTAGCTGTCTTATGAGATGAGTTCTCCTGTGATTTCTCTTTTAGGTCTGGAAGGACGCTGCTGTACAGATTTTCTATTCACTTGGGGCGGCCTGGGGAGGTCTCCATACACTGGCTAGCTACAATAAATTCAACAACAACTTCAAACGGTATGATTTTACTGAATGCTTCATCTATGAAAGAAACAGGTCAAAATACAATTATACTAGAACCAACTGTAAAATGAGGACCTTTAAAATCCCTTTATGCAGTCTTGAAAAGATTTATGTAACAGTGGATAGTTGATAAATACATCGAACTAAAATATGAACAAGTTTTAGTAGTTGGTAAAGTGTGGAAAGTTGAGACTGTTTAAATGAACAGACCATATTGGTTGTGGATTTGTTTTGTTTTGCCAGGGATGGTATGATCATTGCATTCATCAATTGTGGTACCAGCGTGTTTGCAGGCTTTGTCATCTTCTCAGTCATTGGTTTCATGTCTTTTGATTCTGGCCTGCCCATTGAGGTTGTTGCCGATACAGGTCAGTTCACCGAAGACACATCTTTTCTTGCTTATCTTGTTAGAGGAGAACTCCAATCTTTGGCTTACATTTCCACCATTGTACTTTGATCTTTCTTTTCTTGCATGGGGCAGGTCGTAATTAAATTGTTTTTGACTTACTTTCTTCAGTGCAGTATTCACTTTTGTCATTTTTTCAAATTTTTAAACTCAAACTCAGGAGAAGGTTCAGAAGAAATGCAAAGGTAGACCAGTACCAATATTTGAGTGAAAGTCTAAAAAGATGTAACAAGACTAATTCTTTTTTTTTCATAAATCCCTCTTTCTATTGTAAAAAAAATTAGTCAAATTATGTATGAATTGGACATGATTAAAACTAATGATTAAGTTTCTGTATGTGTCTACCTTGCCAGGTCCTGGTCTAGCCTTCGTTGCTTACCCAGAAGCCTTAGCCAGAATGCCTGCTGCTCCTTTCTGGTCCATTCTGTTTTTCTTCATGTTGTTCACACTGGGTCTTGACAGCGAGGTATTTGCACATTCCCTCCAATATTTACTGTTTCCATGTAATTTCTTCATATAAGTACCAACCTAAATGTACATTAACTTTTGTCCAATCAGAGATGTCCACTTGTCCTGTGTAAGCACCTACTGGGTCACTGATGTACATTGAATTCTACCTACCTGTGATATCCCAGAAACTAGAACTTTAATGAGGGTGCGTGATACAAAGGAGAGAGTTGATTTGTCAGTTCTCTCTCCTTAAAATTTAATTGAAGTGAGAGGTTTTCCTTTTTTTCTGTAATAGTTTGTAACCATGGAGACACTTATTACTGCTGTCTGTGATGAGTTGAAGTATTACTACAAGGACATCTACAGATGGAAAACACCAATAACTTTGTGTCTCTGTGTCATCTTTTTTCTGCTGGGCCTTCCTATGACAACAGGGGTAAGCCAACTTTGAAATTGTGAAATCTTGCGGACAGACCAACACATCAGTGCTAGTTTGTATGTTTTTGACAGACTTGTTAGAGATAGGTTCACTCAATTTATTCTTGTCAATGACACTTGCTTTTATCGCTGTAGACTGTCTTCCTGGGATGTGGTTGCTGCCAATAATTTCTTCTACGTCAGTGGTGTGCTTTTTGAAGACATTCTTGATGTACAGTTTTCCATCAAAGAGTCTATCTTGAGATATCATTGCTTTCTTGTGCCTGTTCTGTAGTGTCTCACTCTATGTCTTACCGTATGTGTTCCACAGGGTGGCATTTACCTGTTGACTTTAATGGATGAATACTGTGCGGGATTTTCTCTCTTGCTGATTGCATTCACTGAGTGCATTGTCATCAGCTACGTCTATGGTTTGTATTCATTTGTAATTGAATACGCAGTAGAATAACTCTACATTCTTTGCTACATATTGGATTTATACCTTTACAAGAACACTTGAGGATAAATTCTGTCATGCATTAACAGAGAACTATTAACAGGTAATGTACATTGTCAAAAAAAAAAGCTTGAAATGAGTTATAACCTGATTTATTGGCAATTTTAAACAGTTATTTAATCTCAACATGAAGATTATAACTACGTATAATCTTGTCAAGATATATTCCCAGTAGCACACAGATTCTATTTGAACATATTTATTTATTCTTTTTTCTATTGCTGCTTTGAAGGTATCAAGAAGTTCATGCGTGACATGTCAGTGATGGTTCCATCTGGATTAGGAATCTACTGGAAGTTTTGTCTCATGTTTCTCACCCCATTGATTGTTTTTGTAAGTTCATTCTCATCTTGATTGAACTGTTTCAAGGAAATGTTTAGCAAAATTGTTTATCAGTAAATTAATGTGTAATTGTTTAGCTGTTTTTAATAAGAGCTCTTTGTGACATTTAAAATTGTCTTTGTGAAAGTCAGAAGGAAGACTGTTTCGTTATGCAAGCAGACTCACCAAGGCCTCCAAATTGTAGGATCAAAGGGTGATCCTTTGTGATTCTCATTTACACTTCAAGTTAAGCAAACCTTGTTGCATCTCTCTATCACTTATATAGAAAACTTAGAGATATTTCTAGACGAAGAAAAAGGTGCAGTTGTAATAGGTTGAACCGTAATCTGTTTGACTTTACAGCTCATTTTCATCTCTTTCTGTGTGACGTATGGAACACTTGAGTACTCTGGCTATGTGTATTCTTCCGGTGGAGAGGCTCTTGGTTGGTTGATGGTAGTCACCGGTATCATCTCATTACCTGCCTATGCCATCTTTTATCTCCTCCGAAGTTCAAAGGGATTCACGCTACAGGTAAGTCATTTCTTCCTTCCTCCGTCTTGTGATCTCCTCTTTGAGTGATTTACTAAGTCTCATGAAATGAATTTGTTAACAGGGTCTGTTACTAGCTATGCGACCGAGTCCTGAATGGGGACCGGCTTCCAATAAGCATCGTATTCAAGCCGGGTACCAGCCTGTTGGAATGGATGGGTCAACAACCTCATCAACTTATCCAGGAGGCCAACCAAGCAAAGCCATAGCCACAGCCACAGCCTCTGCACCGTCCTACTTTTCTGCATTCCCCCAGGATTCACCAACTGTACAAATGCCAATTATCTATCATGAAACGTCCATTTAATGTTCCCACCTGCTTGTCTACACAATCTGCCAAGGATTTGTGATGTATCTATTGTGTTGTTTTATAAGATGTTTTATGAAACATTATTAAGTAGGACACCTGTTCCCCCTTCCAATAGGCCAATCAGGGGCACTAAGTGCCAAAGTCAGGTTTAACCTTGTCCATTATTCTCTCAATTCATACAAATGGAATGAAAAAGAAATAGAAAGGAAAATGTCAATACCAGACGTTCCTAACATGTAAACATTTCATATCAGTTCTCAGAGGTTCAATGTTTTACTGCAATAAAGTTTGCCATTTTTCTAATTTGCCATTTAGGAATAACCTAAATACTTGATGTCATAATTGCTAACAGTAAATGCTGCAGAAGAGTAAGGGCTTTGGATCCATTCCTAGGCATATTTGTAAAAAGCACCAGGTGGTAGTGAACTGTTTGAAAATTCTCTCGACTATTTAACTGCATGCAAATTTGGTTATTTTCTTTGATGTAATTTATGGGAAGCAAATATAAGTCCAGCACTGTTTTTGTGTGAGTTACAATCATTGTGTGAGCAATCTTTGAATGTGTATATGTTTGATGCTTTAATGGTAGTTTTATTTTAAATACTGTAAATATATGTGGTATTTTTAAACCCAGATGTCATGCTTTATTTGATACAGGTTTTATAGTACTTTTATATCGAACGTTCGTATTTAAATTGACATTTCTAAATTCATTCACATGTAAACTTAAGTGGCGGCGGTTACTTTAATGCAATGGTTGATATATCTTCACTGTGAAGCCTATCAATAGGTATCTTAAAATGTTTCCTGTTGTAAATGCCCTGCTAATTTTGCAAGGTCAAAATGTTAGTAAAGGAAAAAGAAAGAGACAGCAGATAATTTCTTTTAAAATGTTTCAATGAGGTCAATGTATGACGGTAGTTGTGTGAGTCATCGTTGATTAATCAAAGGATTATAGAAGCTAACATCACGAGTTTCTTCGTATTTTAAGTTTAGAGCATGAAAATGAGATAAAAAGGAAGTGAGAAATCAGTGAGATAAACCTCCAAAGAGGAGTCTAGCACCCCACATCCGCTCTGTATCAGCCATGGGTGGCCTCGCCATTGTTGACTCAGTGTACAAAAATTGTGTACCAAGCCATTTTAAAAGGGAGTAGGACAGTAGGTATCAATTTTACTAACTTAGGAAAATAAACATGTATTGTGCAACTTTTATTCCTGTATAAATTGTATGGAAACTGTCTAACATTTCGTGTAGATCAATATTACTAAAAAAAAGGCATTATAAACACTTGAAATTTTCCTGTATTTTATTCTGTATGCTCTCATTTCAAGAAGACACCGCTTATATAGGGGTGCACCTGTTGGACTCCTGAACCTAAAAATGTGTGCATTTGTAAGAAAAACTTTGCTTGCCATGGATCATAAATAATTGAACACCAAAATTTATTTCAAAGATTAAAAGAGGAACTTTCAGTGACAAATGTATTGGGGCTTTTTCCCATCGCGTAGTGTTACAACTAGCACAAAGACAAGGAAGACTGAGTCATTAGAGGGCGCTATTAATGAAAATATATTTATCTTTTGCTGTTATAAATCCAACGGAGAATCTAGACGCCAACTTTTGCGCTCCCTGCAAATTCAATGCTTTTCCGTAACATCTTTGAGGTCTGGTATCCAGACTTCCTTCTTTACAAGAGGAACCTCCAGCGTACCACTCGGTTCAACTCAAATCGGCGTGCGCGTGACCGGTGACCGGTCATACATACTGCACATGTACACTACATGACAGATGTTTGTTGCGGTAGTGATGTGCTTGTAATGTAAGTTGTATTCTTTCCACTTTGTACTGGTTCTGGTAAGATAATTGTTTCTGATTCCATACCTCATTGTTTATATTTGATCTAGCATTAATACTAGAAGACAGAAGGATGTTCCATTTTTGTAACATGGGTGACTATCGATTCCACCCTGTCATGCCAAGGTTGTGTTTATAGGCCTATGGGCAAGGCGCCTCGGTTTCGAGTCAACTCGGACCCGTACCCATACCAACTCGAACCCAAACCAACTCAAACCCAAACCAACTCGAACCCAAACCAACTCGGACCCAAACCAACTCGGACCCATACCAACTTGGACCCAAACCAACTCGGACCCATACCAACTCGGACCCATACCAACTCGGACCCATACCAACTCGGACCCATACCAACTCGGAC